TAAGAAGAAGAAGAAGAAGAAGATGATGAACAAAACTCCCTGTCATAGCCCCATACATCTATGATGTTAGGTACCATGTCAATCCCTATATACTAAGTACTACCGTACTTAGTGATACAGTGACAGCATGGCAATAACCAGGTTATAACATTATTGGTAACCAGTTACAGCATGGCCATAACAACTTACGAAAGGGCCTTAGCTACGTACAACAGAGTGCTAACTAGTTACAGCATGGCCACAGTTGCGACAGAGTGCATTCCAGTTACAGCATGACGAAAACTAGTTAAACGAAGGGCCATAGCCAGGTAAAACAGCAAGCTTACCAGGTACAGCATGACAATAACCATTTATGGAAGGGTCATAGGCCAAGTACAACTTTGTTATGGTCAATTGGCCATGCTGTAACTGGTTTTCTCTGTGTTGTACGAATCTAGGGACCTTTCGTAAGTGGTTATGGCCGATGCTGTAACTTGTTACCACTCTGTTGTAACTGCCTAGAACCCTGTTGTAAAAGGTTATCACAAAGTTGTACTTGCCTATGGCCCTTCCATAAGTGATTATTGTCATCCTGTACGAGTGGTAACCAGTTACAGCATGGTTATAAGCAGTTACGAAAAAGCCATAGCTAGCCTTTCGGTATTCCCGGAACATGGCAGGTGTAATGAACATGGTGGAGAAATAGGGATGGGAGGGCGAAGAAACCTCGCAAGACCTGTTTCGGTCAATCAGCACTGCAGTTCCCCTTTCGGGATGGAAACAGATGTTGTCGAATCGTATGTCTTTGTGTGCCCAGCCGACGTCATGCTCAGGCCACTCTCTCTGGAGGGTGTACACTTGCTCCTGATCGAGTGTGAGTCATGATCGGGCTGCTGTTTAGCTAAACCCTGCTGTAACTAGTTACAATAACCAGTTACGGAAAGGCCATAGCCAGTGCTACACTTGTGCTAACCAGATACCAACACCAATTCCAGAGCCAACACTGATCAGTCACGTGTTCGAACTCTGACTCCGACTACATCATCCAATTTGTTCCTCTTGTTGTCGTTATCCACATCCCAAACATTCACTACATTTTTAACCTCTGAAGAGAGGACAACCTCCCTCTGATGTTAAGCCTAGGTATAATTTACTGCCTTCCCCTTTTGTAGTGTTTGCATCATAGGATACATTTCGTCGACGTGCTGCGCTGTTCACAAATTGACGATACGGCGATAGCTGACGAAACGCAACGAAACGAAGGTCTATCGTCGTATTATGAACCAGGCTTAAGACTCTGATGCTCCATAAGTTGATGGATCGCATGTTCTCTGTTGACGGCGAAACACGATTGCAATTTCTAGTGCATTCTATTCTGCTCTCCATGTATTATACAAGTATACGTGTACATAGCTCCTAATATCTATTTTGGCTGTGCTACATATTATGTGCTCAGAAGTGCAACTGTCACACAGCAGAGTGCACTCTTAACACTTAACGTGCTACGGACACATAAATGTGTCCAGAATCTCCAATATAAGTCCATAAGAATGTATATGGGGGTTATAATACTAGGTGCTAATACTTTCTACATAAAATTCTGCTTATTAAAGAATATACCCATGGTGTCCAAAGGGTTTTAATGAGCAGGCCGAGGGTTTCTATTTTCTCAAAAAGTGATGATGTGATTATGCTACGCACAATATCATCAACAACTGTTCTGCAGACCATAATTATATGGAGGACATTTTTTACTTCTGGTGGGGGCAAAATCACATATGGATGGAAAGGTCCATACACCGCTCAGCAATCCTTATCGATAGCTATTTACCCTCCCTCCCTCCCTCCCTCCCTCACTCACTCACTCACTCACACATTTGTAACAAGCTATATAGCACCTGCAAAGAAATCAGGAGTAGCCAGGAACCATCCATGCACATGGCAATCATAATCATATTTCACATTAGCAGAGAACAGTGGAACATCACAATTCTCTCCCAGGTGAGGCGACGTGGACGCTGGGAAATATGCTCACCCAAAAATAATATTTTTGCACACTGCCCAGCAAGCCAAATTGCTTGCTAACAAGGTCATAGTGTGAACCACTATCTGAACAATACAAGTAGTCTGATTTCCCTCTACAGTTATTTTCATCCAAAAAAATTCTCGGTGGGTAAGAACTCTTCTCCCTCCCAGTCGTTCCGCAGTATACGGAGAATTATTAAATTACAGAAAACGTACGCGCTCAAATTTCCTCCTCGTAATCTTCGGCACCTTGACTTCCGGTAAGTTGCTTGAGCTTGTCTCGGAGAAGTTAGGGGTCTCAGGCAAAAACTGCTCTAGCCCTTTTATAGACCGATGCATGGAGTCTTTATATACCAAGGTTCAAGCTGCAACTGTGTAGCGTTTTGCCTGTACAGCTCGCTTCACGCGAGGGGTGGTGCAACATAGGCAAACGGGCATCTTTTGTGCCCCCCTCTGAGCCTTTCGACACTTATGCACATAAGAATTGGCTTACACTATTTATACCATTGGTTGGTGTTCATGGGCTACGTGCCTTGGAGTGTGGACAAAAATCATGAAATTCAGTCTATGAATAAAAATGCACTATGTGCCTCCAGTATTGCTGCTAGCCAGAGCCAGGGTAATCACAGCAATATAGAGGCTAGTGTATGATCCATCCTAGGCAGTGGAACTGTGGGAGGTCAGAGTGCGGCTCGCATCATCTAAGACTTGACATGGTTCTCTGTGAACTGCTGAGCCGACGCTATAATCTGGTGGAGAGCACAGCGGTGCAGCTTCAGACTAAACTAGTAAACGCAGTGTTCCTGCCCCATGCATTTCAATACGTGAAGACAAAGCTTGTTTTTGAGGATCTGTTCCGCCTGTCGCCAACTGACAAATTGAGAAACGGTATAGAAGTCGTCCCTGCGTCCAACTTGGTGGTGGGGGAGAAAGACGGTACCGAAAAAGCCCACTTCTGCAAGTTTCATGTCGAAAGTAACGTGCACGAGTGGCTCCTCAACAACTTGGAAACACTGTTCAGAAAAGCTCACCGCCTCCCATAGCAGTTTGCCATTTTGAAGAAGGTGACAATGCTTCATGGGGGCTACAAAAGTCCACCGGAGTACACTGCCACCAGCCCATTTTACCATCCACACCGAAGCTGAACTGAGGTTTGCCATAGCAGACCCCATCGTTGAGATGATTTGCGATTGTTGGGGATACCAGGTTAGAAAAGGCACATACATTTGAACCTTTAAAAAGCTGCATTTGCCCCACCAGGTGAGGTTGGAGGAAACACCGACAACGACGCCACGAAAAACGAGGTCACAATGGGTACCTACCATCGGCATACCGGGCACCAACACGAGTGCAAACATATCGGAAAACAGCAGAGCAGACTATAGCCTATACACTATTAAGGACACCAAAACGAACATGGTTTTCGCTGTGCTGATGGAAGCAAAGTTGACTTCCCACAAGAATTTTCACCATGCTGTTGGTCAGGTGTGTTCCAACTCTTTTGATTGGCGAGGGGTTAGTTTTCCTTCTCCCTTGCAGCTCAGTATCATTTGGAGCATATCTAGTTTCCTGTGGCGTGTCTAGCCCACACATTGGCTGGTAGAGTGGCGGGCTGAATGTCAGAAACTGAAGGCGACCCTCCCTCTACGCTGCTGTGTCAGAAAAAGTGTGCAATTTCTGTGCTTCCCATACACACAATCTGATTCTCCAAATACAGTTGCAGACTGTGTTGTGTTTCCAGAGATTCCGCGGTTGTTTCATGAGACTGAGAGGGGGAGCATTAAAGTACACATTAATAATTTTGTTGGCTCTAATTTTGTTGCTCTGCACCACTTCTCCCAACAACATCACCCCCTTACACATGAATTCAAAGATCCCGTTTGAAAACAGTACAAAAAAGGTGACAATCAAGAAACACATCCAAACCGTCACAGAGCAGATACGAGAGCAGTTGGACATGTTGATAGAAGAGCATAGAAGAGGACACCCGAAGAGAAAGAGAGGGAGAAGGACACCTTGAAGAGGAAAGTGGAAGAAATGGAGAAGGCGTTGTACAAGCAGCGACGGAAGGAGTGATAGGTGGCACAGCGTAGCGTAGCATAGCATAGCGTCTGTTTATGTTTGCCCATCAGTTTTTTGGTCTCGATATTTTCGTTTGAGAGCTGATAGCAAAGAACATCAACAAGACAAAATACACGCAATTGACCAATCAGATTGCGAGTTTAGCGGTGACTAATTTTGTTAGTGACCTCTTCCGCGGTAACTATTCGTATAATTATTATAGCCCCGGCAACCACGCCTTCAATTCGAAAAGACGCCACGCGCGCGGACGGTGAACCGAGCTTCTGGAGCGGTTCTTCCCACGAAGAAACCAGGAACAGGCTCTTCTAGCAGCAGCGCATGACTACTAGAGAGCTAGGAAGACGGGAAAAACGCGTACAAAAAATGGCCGGGCGGCGCGATCCCGAAGGCAGCAACGCCTACAACGGACACTGCAGCGGGACGGACTTGCGCTGTAGTCTAGACGCGTCGCCTTGGGAAACTACGTGATTTAGTGAGCCTCGGAGCCCTTAGTAGCGCCCTCGCTGCGCTCGGGACGCCGACAGCTCAGGGCTCCTCGGCTCACTAAATCGCGTAGTTCCCGCGGCTCAGCGTCTAACCTATACTTAAAGCTTAAGAGACACTGCATTGACACAACCTCACATTTGATCCTACAAACCCAGGGAATCGTCGGGCATGGAAAAGGGATGACTGCTGCAGCTACAACTATAATCTCTTCTTTGGTGTAAGCACGATTCACAAACTGCGACAGCTTCAAGCTAGACAAACACTGGATGGTAACCATCGGGCATCCCCGACATTCAAGGCTAAACAATTCCAGAATTCGGCTGTCTCGTTCATTCGTTCTGTGATGCGACCAAGCGGAGAGTTCATGCGTTTGTGGGCGGGGGAAAAGTCGCCGCAGTCGAGTCACGCGAGCACTCACACCGCGCCCCAGCCCCCGGCCCCCCAGTCGATCGTGCAGGTTGTGCTGGTTGTTGGTGTATCTTCAGCTACCTGACGCCGTAGTGACTTGTAACCTGTCATCATGGACGAGAAATACGATGTTATCGTACTTGGTACGGGTTTGAAGGTACGCTGGAGGCCTGATTCAACATTCGTGTTTGGTCGTCGTTCTCGCGTTTCTGTTCCCTGCATGCTGTAACTGTATCTATGTGTTTGTGTGGGTGTGTGTCTGTATCGACGTTAGCCTCTCCGGTGCCAACAAAACAGCTGTGAGGGGCGTACTCGCTCACATATGGCTACGATCAATTACCTGCCTTGGTGCACGGTTGGTGTTTAGTTTTCTAGAGTGCACATAGGTGTGTGGGCATCAATTAGAGGTTGGTTCCGTGGTGGCATACTATATGTGTGTACTGGGCATTATGTCCACAATGCTGGAGTGTGAATGCCATTTTTGGTTGGGAATAGGCATGTGACCCACAGCCCTGCCTGTCCTATAATAGTGGCCTAATTCCCTGGTCTTATATACAGTACATTGCAGAACAGGAAAAGGCTTTTCTCAAGCGTCCCGTGTAAAGCAGATGGGGATGAGTCACTTGGCTAAATGAACCTTTCACATCGAATATTTGATATTCTCTCCTAGAAACAATTCTGTGGTACTATGTACTGTTAATATTGGTAGGCAAGAAGTTTATTCGACCACCCTTGGGTTTGAGCAACTGTTACTCACTCCTGCTTTGCTGAGAGTTCTGAAAAGGTTCTCCAAACAACTGCCTGATAACACATAAATGGGTCTATTGTGTACTTGGTTGTATGGGCCTTTGCACTAAATTGTCTCTCGGTGTTTATACGAGTTTTACACATGATGTGTATGTATTTTCTGAAAACAATGTGCTCTGTAATACAGTAGACCGTTGCTTATCCAGATCTCGGTTGGGTTGCCCCCATGTCAAATAAATGTGGCACACTTTTTATGCAAAAACCACTTCAGAGACACTCGCCTTGCCTCGAACCATGTACTACATGCTGATATGGGTATTAATTAGAAACATTAATGGTTTGATACAGTTAGGTTCACTGTACTCGGGTGGATATTGTGTAACTGGAGCCATAACAGCTGCCTAAATCTCCCACATTTGCTGCCTATGCGAAAGTGATTAGCTTAAAATTGAGCCACAGTTCATTAATTGAATGTGATTGGTTGGAATCTTTTCAAATCGCTACGCTTCTGTTTCTGCAAGAACTTGCGCCTGTTTGCGTTACATTATAGAGCCTAGTTATTCCAGGTTATTTAATTAGGCCTGTCTTGCGTTCTTGAACTGTGGCCTTAAATTCCATGTTTTGTATTTTAGTCACAATAGTGTAGTGTACAAGTTTATGCACATACCAATTTTATATGCTTTGTGATTTTTTAGGAGTGCATTTTGAGTGGGCTGCTCTCGGTGAGTGGGAAGAAGGTCCTGCATATGGATCGAAACAAGTACTATGGTGGTGCTTCAGCCTCTCTGTCACCCCTTGAAGAGGTAGGCATCACCACATTATGCTAGCTACGTTTAAAGGCAATCCAACAGTCTTGAGTAATTGATGCAACTTTATGCCTATATATATATAGCACGATTTGGGTGGTTGGTTTGCTGACAATTTTTTTTGTTTTATGCACATTGTGCAAGTGTGACGTAAAACAGAACTCAGTTTAAAGCACCCTTCACTGGTAGTGGAAGCTCTTCAAGCACTGTCTATGAAAGCAGGGTTGTCCTCATAGTGCGCTGGCGCTCCTCTGGCCCTACTAAATAAACAATTGACCTTTGACCTTTGACCTTTGACACGTGGTTCATAAATGTGCAGCTGCTAGTTTGTGTATGGCGCAATGAACCGGTTTCTTATCCAAAGAAGAGTCGAGATGGAAGAAGATAGAGAGGTAAAAGACTATCTAGAGAACTGTTCTACACAAACAGAAGGATCTGCAAGTAAAAGAGTAATGGTTGGCTCTAGCGGGCATGGTGAATTTTGTTGACATGCCTTAGTTCACCACTCTACTTTCATTTCTTGGGGACAACCCTGGCCATGATCATTTAATTCACGGTTTTACCATTTAAATGTAGCACACATTCAGAGAGCTAGAGTTAGCAAGAATACTTGTCAGACCCTAACAAAAGATTTGAAAATAAGAGGGACAGACTAACTGATGAATCCTGACCCGTCAGATGCTCCAAGCGAGTTTGGATGCATATAAGCCGGCCAGAGCAAATTGGAGGGTAGCGCAACCTTTATTTAGTTCATCTAGGGACTGGTTCAGAGTAGAACAGTAAGTGACCTCTTTTTCATCACAACACCACGAGGGCTGACGTATATGTCAAAAGCACAACTCTCCATTGCAGTGTCATGGCACTGACTAACATGCGGAGTGAGTGTTTTTGTCCTTGCATGTGAAACGCAGTATATTAATTGTCTGATGGGTACTGTAATAGCAGTGTTCTCCCCAACTCTTGGAGAAGAGCAGGTTACTCTGCCTCTGCACATAATGTGTAGTGCACATGTTTATTGTGTGTGCATATTGTTTTTGCTTAAAAAATCATATTATTCAATGAGCATGTGCGCCATGCATAATATGCTTACATGTACACACGTTTTTTTATTCATTTTTTGATCATCAGCAAGGACAGTATAAGCTTCAGGCATTTCACTTACAAGTACAGATAAACCATGTTGCATTTTTCTGGGGGAAATGCATTAATTTATAGGTTGGAAGTCTGGTGACCATATTAATACTAGTGGAAATGTTGAACATTGTTGGCGAGCGGGAGTGACCCAACTTGGGATTTGCCCGCGATGTTCGGGCTGCATAACGTGCCGTCAGCGCACAGCTTTCCTTTCGTGAAGCAAGACAGATCTACCTGTCGCCGTTACAGTACATTGGCAAAACGGTGAGCAGGTGGGCAGAACGGTACTTACTTTCAGCTTGTCAGTCGTGGTCCACCAGGCAGCTGGCATGTAGCAGTATCTGCACGGTGAGCAGGTGAGCAGAACGGTACCTACCTTACGCTTTCAACTGGTCTGTCAGTGTCGTGGTCCACCAGGCAGCTGGCATAAAGGGGCAGCGATCGATGGGGCTGGCCAACCCGCGGCGTGTGTCAGCGTATAATAATACAGACGATTGCGAAATTTCATTCAGTTTTCGTGTATTTAGAATCACGTAACGAAGCCGCGCATGCGCACTTACACGATGTACGAACGATAAATAAATAAATATATAAATAAATAGAAAAATCGGCCCGTTGCGACGACTAGATTGGCTTGCTCCCGCTCGCCAGCAAGGTTTGTCCAGGATAACGTGTGCTTCCTTTTGTACACAGCTCTACAAGCACTTTGCTCGTGAAGAGCAACCCCCACAGCAAATGGGACGTGGCCGTGACTGGAATGTCGACCTCATCCCCAAGTTCCTCATGGCTAATGGTATGTTTAACAGATGTGTAAAAGCCGTCATTGTCTGATATTTTGTGCAGTGAGACCATGAGTAAATTGACACCTATCTATTGTACTGCACATGCGTATGGGTTACAGTACATGCCAAAAATAAGTTCCCACTACCCTTCCGTAGAATGGTCACACCGTACTAAAGCTACGGTCTTGCTACGCTGCTGCTACGCCGTAGCAACGCCAAACTATGGTGGAAGACCTGCTATGGCACAGTACACCGTAGTTACTAAGCTACAGTCCTATACTAAGCAGTGTGGCCCCATGTAGCTTTAGCTAGCTATGGCCAGGAGATCCACACGGCGTTCACACGGCGACAATGCTGACAGCGAGGCGATCGATGGGCTGCTGTTGCCATGTTGATGCGCGGTTTGGTGGGTGCGGTCGCACACGCGCATGCCGTGTCAGTGTGCTCAGCGGGCGCTAGGAGAGCGAGAAGCTATAGCAAGCAGCAGTAGCAATGCTAGACATGACTGCGCTACAACGCTTGTGTTCTTAGCTTACTCTCAGCTTTAGAAACAACGCTCATTGGCTTTAGCTGCCACCGTTTACTTTACTACTGCTACGGTGCTCTACGGTCGACCGTAGATTCGCCGTAGAAGCACCCTATAAAGGAGCGGAAAAATGCATATTAAATAGGGGTTGCGCACGCATTCGCCCATACAAGTGCAATTGCGGTGTACGTGTTTTACAGTGTGATTTTGACAACTTGTTGAGAGCCCAAATATTCTTATTTACATGTTCTGTTCCATATACTATGTGGCTAACAGTACAACATGCCTGAAAATGGAGTAAGAATTTTTTCACTCCCAACAAGTTTCAGATTGATATTGAACCAATTTCATGATATTGCTAATGTACAAGTGCAGCGGGGAAGATGAGACCGGCAATGCTAAACTGCGAGGTCACAAAGGTTCAATAGGTATTCTCCCCTGTACGTCAAGGTAGTGTTTTTTGAAGCTTTTAGTTGAAACAAGCATGGGTCTACCCCTCAACTCTACCTGTAACTGGAGCTTCTTTGGTAGCAATGTGCAGTGTCAAGTAGCACTTCTCTTCTTGCAGGGCAACTGGTGAAGCTCCTGATCCACAGTGGAGTCACCCGCTACCTAGAGTTCAAATCTGTTGAAGGCAGTTACGTTTACAGGAAGGGAGGGAAGATCCACAAAGTGCCTTGCAATGAGTCTGAGGCTCTCAGCTCCAGTAAGTGGATAAATATTTCTATATGAAGTCTTGTAGTGAGCCTGCTGATTAAATCTACTATAATCAACACCTGCGAAAGTGTGCATTTATCACTTACAAACGGGGTGTTGCAACAAAAATGGCGAAGCTTTGTGCCACTGTTGACGTTGCTGTCTTGAATGACATGTCATAAGCTACGGCACAAAACAGCTTTGTTTTAGTAAGGATATCGTTGAAAACCTCTTCACTGCAGCAAACAAGGTAGAATTGAGCGGCGGGGGTTATGTACTGTAATGCGCTTTTCATTAACCCTCGGCGCGCATGCGCAGCGAGGGTTACTGTAGTTGGGTTTGTCCTTCCGTGTGTCTGTCTGTTACTCTCAATCTCACTTCTCGGGTGTTTGTTCGTCTCACAAAGGATACGACCTACTTAATGGGGCAATGAAGGTCAGAAGGTTCGAACGGTTTTCTCTGAAACTGCTCCGTTGCAAAGCTAGAGCGCGAAAAAGCCAATATGCAAATACACAACGGCTTACCACAGTCGGATCGATCCGCGTGCTCTGCGTACTTCGGAGGCACCAGAAGATGCAACGCAGGGCGTGTATCGCCTCTCGCATGCTATCTAGTAGTGTAGTTAGCCCGCATCAGACTCTGCGCGAGCTGGCAAGAGACCACGGGTAATAGCTAAAACTAAACCCGGCCCATCAATTAGTGGTACGGCGCATGCGTTTACTTACGCGTGCGCGTTACAGTGCGCCGAGGGTTTGCACTTCAGTGCTTTTCATATTTTCTGCATATTGGCTTTAGGACGTCACTATTGCAAACTCCAGATGTCCAAACACATCAGTTAACCGAATACGCATGGGCATGGGGTATCTCAAAAAAACATGGCCTACAATACATAGCTCAAATGCTGTTGGAATATTGTGTCCTGTACTCCCCATAAGAGGGTAGAACAAATCGTGCTCTCTACTGTATGAGTAGAGTTGTAACACACACACACACACACACACACACGTAAAACGCATAATCACTGTATGGTGTTTGTTACAGCTGCCCATGTACATGAAAAATTGCTGATACTAGTGGGCGAATGCAGGGCATTTTTGGCGAGCGAGAGTGAGTACACAATGACTGTATCTGCACGAGCCATCCTAGCCTATTACAACTTGCATCTCGGACACATGAAGTTTGGAGAGACGTACAGCCTCGGTCAGGCATTGAAGAGTGCAGCGAATGTCGCCGTATGGACAAGAGTTCTCTGGCTGGGTAGATCGCGCATCGAAGATCAGGGGCAGCGTGTAAAAAATATTTGAAATGATTTCGGATAAAAAATAAGCACATGATCCAAACGCATGCGCAGTTGGACGACGTATGGTCGTATATATATGTACAGTACCGGTCATTAAAAAGTTAAAAGTACCTGACTGCAAGGACTGTTACTGTACTCTTTTAGTACTGTTTTAGTACTGTTTTAGTACTGTTTTGGTACTGTTTTGGTACTGTTTTCGTATTGTTTTAGTACTGTAAGGTACTGTACTGTACTTTATCTTTTTAATGACCGGTACTGTATATAGAAAAATCGACCACTAGGTTAGCTCGCTCCCGCTCTCCAATCATTCCTGAGCATATATATATGCACTGCGATCGAGTGCAACTTCGTCTGAGAGAACTCAGTGAGAGGCCAGGGAGAAAAGCGTAAGATCAGCTGTTGGTCAAAGCGCGTCTAGACGACCATTCCGCCATGGAGTCGCTTCAAGTTTCCCCATAGTCAGCGGAGGTACATGCCTTTGTCTGTCTTTGCTGTTGTTTTTTAGGCTTGATGGGCATCATGGAAAAACGCCGTTTCCGTAACTTTGTGGTGTGGGCCTCCGATTATGATGAAAAGAATCCGGGTACACAAAAAGGTTAGTAGTGTTTTTGACATGTATTTGTATTTGCATATTGACCATGGAATGTTGCATTATTGGTGTAGGTATGTACATGTACACCCGAGAATAGCCTTTTTTCCAGATCACCCCCCTTTAAAAGAGGTGAAGCCTGAAATACAACAGGACCTGGATACGTAGCATTGACTGCAAAATTCCTGCTCACAGGGCATTGCAACATCATTGTTAACCTATCCTAGACTTCAAACTAGGCTAGAACAGAAACCTTTTATTTACTTTTAGCACACTATGTATTCTTTACGTTTAGAGCATTGCCCTCTTTTTTACTGCCTTGTAAAGGAATTGCACCAACAGCCCCGATGAAAGCTGCCTTTGACAAGTATGGTCTAGACCAAAACACCATCGACTTCATTGGACACGCCCTTGCTCTTTATCGGGATGATAAGTAAGTTTGCATTCATTTTTGAAACAGTTATTGTATCATAGTATTAGGACTCAGTAGTTTTGACCTCTACGTTGGTCTACGGACACTCACAAGTGAGCAAAGAGATTGCGAGTTTAGGGGTAACTTGTTACAGTACACGGCAAAAAAAAATTCCCACTACGCCGCCGTAGTACGGTGATACCGTAGCAAAATGTTCTACGGTGCTTCTACGGCGGATCTACGGTCGACCATAGAGCACCGTAGCTGCGGTACGCTGCGAGGGTGTAGCCCACCGTAGTACAGTAAACGGTGGCAGCAAAGGCCTAGCAAGCAACGATCGTTGTTTCTAAAGATGAGAGTAAGCTAAGAACACTAGCGTTGTAGCGCAGTCGTGTCTAGCAAGGCTACTGCTGCTTGCTATCGCTTCTCGCTCTCCTTTGCGCCCGCTGAGCGCGCTGACGCGTCATGCGCGCGTCGCGCCCACTAAACCACGTATCAACACGTCAAGAGCAGCCCATCGATCGCCTCACCGTCAGCACTGTCGCTGTGTGAACGCCGTGTGGATCTCCTGGCCGTACAGCTAGCTAAAGCTGCATGGGGCAACGCTGCTTGGTAGAAGACTGTATCTGGGTGTTAGGAAACTATGGCATACTGCGCCGTAGCATGTCTACGGCTTCCACCGTAGTACGGCGTTGCTACGGCGTAGCAGCAGCGTAGCAAGAATGTAGTTCTACTACAGTGTGACCGTACTACGGTACGGTAGTGGGAACTTTTTTTGGGCGTGTACTGTATATACGTCTTTCGTGGTAAAGCGCTGTGCGCTTCAGCTATGACCACGCTTTTGTTTAGAAAAGACAAAAGTGTCCAGAACGTTTTTCCCATGAAAAAAAGGTGTGCCCGCTTCTACCACTACCTACAATAAACCAAATCGGGCGTCTAGGGGAAATATAAAGATCACTTGGCCAGTTCCTTCCGTGACGTCACGTCAGACTGCATCTGCATTGACCACAACCAGGAATAAAAATTTGGAAGGTTGCTGGCTCCATTTTGAGGGCATTGTTGCATCACCGCAAAGAATATCACGAAAATAACCCATTTGTAATAGAATCAGAATTTTTAAAAGGTATACGTTATTTTTTTGTCCCCCTTTCTCTAGTGTGTTAACCATTGTTACCCTCGGCGCGCATGCGCAGCGAGGGTACAGTAGTTGGGTCTGTCTGTTTGTCTGTTTGTCTGTTACTCTCAATCTCACTTCTCCGGTGTTTGTTCGTCTCACAAAGGATACGACCTACTTATCGGGCAATGAAGCTCAGAAAGTTCGAACGGTTTTCTCTGAAACTGCTCCGTTGCAAAGCTAGAGCACGAAAAAGCCAATATGCAAATACACGACGGACGGGATGGCTTACCACGGTCCGATCGATCCGCGTGCTCTGCGTACCTCGGAGGCACCAGAAGATGCAACGCAGGGCGTGTATAGCCTCTCGCATGCTATCTAGTAGTGTAGTTAGCCCGCGTCAGACTCTGCGCGAGCTGGCAAGAGACCACGAGTAACAGCTAAAACTAAACCCAGTCCATTAATTAGTGGTACTGCGCATGCGTTTACTTACGCGTGCGCGTCACACTGCGCCGCCGAGGGTTTGCACTTCAGTGCTTTTCATTTTTAAGGCTATAGCCAGCAATTGACCAAGACACCACGATTGCTCCTTTACTTCATCAGCTCTTATTTTCATGTACAGGTATATCAAGGAGCCCTGTGGACCGGCAATAAAGAGAATACAGCTCTACAGGTAAAGGTTTTCTTATGTGAGCTTTGCCTTTGCATGTGTTCTCTTGGAGTGTAAAGCAATGTATAGTTTTAGTACATACGGTTTTGGAGTTTTCAAGGCCTTTTTATTGCCCTGCTAGTTATTGTCGTTCAGCTATACTGGATTAGCTGCAACTAAAGTGTAGGAGTGAGAAAAAGGTTCTGAATTTCAGTCTGTGTTGATTGCACTATTTATTTCCGACCCATTTTCTTATAGGCATAAAAGTTTTATTTCTCTAGCATCTAAGTTAGTGTCATAGCTAACAAAAGTTGCGACAGTACTTTTTTAGAGTGTCAGATCATCAGGCCAGCCATAGAGGGCCAACTTCTGTGTGGATCAAATGCGAGTGCAGTAGCAAATTAGAACTGCGTTCATGAGGTCTGTGAGGTAAGTACGTAAATCACAGTGGCGTACACTTTGTGCTAGAAGGACACACTGGCACTGTAGAGAGACCTGCGCAATTGTACCTAATATTATCACTAAGTACGGTAGTACTTAGTATAATAGGGATGACACAGGTTGCCCTGCATTATGCCCATACATTTGAGATTTTCATGTTTCACTTTCCGGATCCAACTTTTGACACATCAGACTAATCCGTATTGTCACAAAGGGCATGAATCCATCACTTTTCAATTTTCTTCTTCTTCTCGTTGTTGTTATTGTTCAGTTTAGACAAGCGTATCTCAAAAACCACTTACGATATGGAGATGAAACTTTGCATAAAGATTGGAATCCGTGACCCGGCGTGCAAGAGCATTTTAATTTGTTTGTGTTGTTTACATGTAAACAACAACAAATAGCCCCAGGCCATACATTATGATATAGACTAATAAAGTGTGCTAACTAGGTATAGGAAGCACCCAGAATGATAAAACTTTGAACATGCATGCAACCCATCATTAGTATCAAAATGTAAACATTACAAATTTGCAAACAACAACAAACAGCCTCAGGCAATAAAATGTGTTTCTGCCTATAACTTGCTTATGGTGGGTCCTCTAGCAATGGAACTTGATACACTGATGTACCATGATGGGAGTTGATCGAAACACAAATTACAAGTTCATAAACAACAACAAACAGCCTCAGGCAATAAAAACTTGTTAACTATATTATTGACTATAACTTGCTTATGGTGTGTCCTCTAACAATGAAAATTGGTACACTGATGTTCCACGATAATAGTTCATTGAAACAGAAATTACAAGTTAGTAAACAACAACAAACAGCCTCAGGCAATAAAATGATGTTTGTGCCTATAACTTGCATATTGTGGGTCCTCTAACAACGAAACTTGGTACAATGATTTACAACGATGAGAGTTCATCGAAACATAAATTACAAGTTTGTAAACAACAACAAACAGCCTCAGGCAATAAATACTTGTAAATGATGTTTGTGCTTGTAGCTTATTGTGGTCCTCTAACAATGAAACTTGGTACACTGATTTACTATGATAAGAGTTCATTGAAACATGAATTACAAGTTTGTAAACAACAACAAACAGCCTCAGGCAATTAACAATCTGTTTTTCCTATAACTTTGTACACTTATCTACTTTGGAACTGAAATAAAAATGTAGGTGACGACTAAGAGTCCGAGGCAATAAATACATGTTACTTTTTATATAGACATTATGCCCCAATGCATGTGCATGCCATAAAAAAAGGAAAGGAGACAAGGAAATCAAAAATTCTGCGAATTAAAAAAGTGTGGAATATAGGGATGCCATAAAAAGCAAGGAGACAAGACAGGGATGACCTAGTGTATGTGATGCATTAGTACTGTGGGATGATGGTTACATTTTCAAACTGACATTGCTTGCTCGGGTAAATCTTCCTCCACACAAGCCCTATATTGTCGCCACTTTTCTCACAACATGAATTTGTTTAGTGTGAGGACAACGGTGAGGCTGAGACACATAGATCCACTCGTGCATAAGAAACAAGTCATAGCTGCACATCATACAATAGAGATCACTCGTGCTAGCAATAGATTTTAATGACAGTGCATTTAGCCGGCACTCTTTAGTTGAGTCCCCTCTCTCAAGAATATTAAGACCAGTCTGTAAAGGGATTCTCTGGCGGGCCATGAACACAGCATTGTAAAACTCATCGTTAGTTGAGCGAACACCGAAGTCTTAGATGCCGTCACAACAAAACACTGAGGAACTGTCAGAGAGGGCAACACCAGTGCATCACGTGCTTAAGAGATGAGTCATTCCATGAGGGAGCACAGTCATGCTTTGCGACAATATAGGGCTTGTGTGGAGGAAGATTTACCCGAGCAAGCAATGTCAGTTTGAAAATGTAACCATCATCCCACTGTACTAATGCACTAGTCTTGTCTCCTTGCTTTTTATGGCATCCCTATATTCCACACTTTTTTAATTCGCAGAATTTTTTATTTACTTGCACACTTTTTTTCCCCAGTGAGTCCATCCAACGCTACGGCAAATCTCCTTACCTCTACCCTTTGTATGGCCTTGGAGAACTACCCCAAGGATTTGCAAGGTACAACTGTATTTTTCACATTCATCCCTGTATTATATATATTACTGTGCTTGACATATAAAGGACTGTCTGTTGCGATGAGTACATTGCTAGCATTATTGTAGCAATTTCTCAGTTGACTTGCAGGCGAAGTTTTGAAATTGTTTGAGTAGTTCCATTTACTTGACGCTCAGGGAAGCACTTTTTGTGTTACAGTAGGAGGTTGATTCTCTGCTTGACCTCTTAATAGTGTTTCATTCAACACATTGGGTCTGGGGAGCTGCAGGGTGTTCCTGGGGGGCAGTGATGAGTTGGGGTGTCTGGGGAGGTAATACTTGCTTGTCTGCCTCGAGCGTCTCTTACACTGTGTAGTCCTGTCCTCAGTTTTGACACCCATGTTTTTTTTCACAACTCTCACTCGTTCTCCTGTTTCGTATTACACACGGAGATCTTTTCACCGGCCGCACATCAGTGTTGCATTTTACGCATGCGCAATAATTGTACCCGCCCATTTTCGTACTTTTTCAATCCGGGCGGAGCGCCCGGTAGTTATAATGCTGCAGGAAACACTGCACATACACAGTAATGATAACAAACATGATTCATACATTTGTGGGTAGTGCACAGATTAAACATAATTGTAGCAAACTATCGCTGAGTTGCAATGCTTTCCTTGCACTAAAGTGTTAGGTACATAATTACTCCATGTGGGACAGTATGCATAAGTCACTGTTATCTTGTGGCATGTTCTAAACACTTACATAGCTGACCTATACAGTATTAAACGTAAACAGGCTGAGTGCTATCTATGGCGGAACCTACATGCTGGACAAACCTGTGGATGAGATAGTCTATGAAGGAGGCAAGGTTGTGGGGGTGAAATCAAAGGACGAGGTTTGTTTATACACACTGCAGGTTAATGAAGGCATGTTTCTTGCGCTATATACGTTTCTGTCCTTTCTGTACTCAGTGCTCCATCCCAGTGTATATTTGCCATTTGTGTATTTGCAGCACTCATGTTTTACCTAAAGGGCCCTTAACTAACATTTTACGATGAAGCCACATAAACACTGCAGCCATACCTGCAAGTGCTTTATTGTGCTGTTGGGTAGCTACTCCTTACCTCTATCTTCATTCAGTCTTTCACTTTCAAAGTTACGGAGCAGTGAATGGCTGTTGCTTATATTATGGCCTAGATGCGTGTGTAATAGGAAATTTATTTGTGCTGTATTCAGACAAGCATATCTCGAAAAGTTTGCCCAATCACCCCCATTTTACTTCAGCAAAGAGAAGAAAGGTCCACTTACAATACAAGCCTAAAACGCAATAAAATAACTCAAGGGCGCTATTCCCAGAGCTGGTTACATAATTGTACATTAATGCTAGGTTGCTCACACTGACTGTGTCATTGGGGATCCTAGCTACTTTACAGACAGGGTGAACAAAACCGGACAAGTAGTACGGTGCATCTGCATTCTCAGCCATCCGATTCCAAACACGAAAGACGCCCTCTCCTGCCAGATCATCATCCCTCAAAACCAAGTTGGACGCAACTCCGGTTAGTCATGTCTCTGTATACCTGCACATCTGTGCCAATGACTAGCGACTAGGGTAAGCTGGCAAGAAAGGTGATGGAAAGACTTAGTTGCTGAACTGCAGTGCAAGGCTATAATGGGGGACCTATTGTCTAGCTTAAATAAACTCACATTTTCACCATTAATTTTGATGAACTGTGAAGCCAAAATTAATGGTGATATCATCTATAAGATAACCCATGGGGACATATGGAAAACCATCAACATTCCATCAATTAGCAGAGACCAGCACAGGCCCTCACAGGCATAGGGTTTCACAGTGCTGACACACACGTTTATCATTAATTACCATAGCCCTTTATTTATTACATTTTCCCCTGTAAATATCTTTTGTCATGGCACACACTAGACATCTACATTTCGTGTGTATCATTTGCACACAACGTGTCAACCAAGGGCTACTACCTTGCCATGGTGAGCACTAATGTGGAAACTTCAAATCCCGAGGAAGAACTGAGCCCTGGTCTCGCTATACTTGGAAAAATTGAGCAAAAGTGAGCAATCGGTTAATTATATGCATGGACAATGTTTGTGTACAAAGAGTTTCATGTGTCCAAACTTGCTAATGTATTTACATTAATTGACCCTCGGCACACATGCATAGTAGGGGCTACAGTACTTCGTCTGCTGTCTATTTGTCTGTTACCACTCCAGCAACAAGGCAGCCAATGAGCAGCAAAGGCATTAATATTAAAGATCGATTTGCTTGAAACAACAGCGGTCTGAGAGTTATTACGTAACACACGAGTGAAAAGCATTGGCTTGTACCTCGACTAGTTCTGCCCGTTAATGCATCGTTGGGAGCATAAAATTACTCTCAGGATGAGTCTCCGTCTCGAAACGCTATTGCTAGCCCTTGGTAGAGCCATTATATAACTGACAGTGTGACCCGACCCATTCAGTTAGCGGCGTTTTTTGTGCATAAGTAGTGTGTACTGTAGTAAAAACGTTTCCAATTTTGTTCTGCTTCTTTCCATTTGCCGTTCACTATCGTTCCGTTTCCGTTCAGTCATAGCTCGTGTTGAATTCCGCGTGACATGCCCACTGTAAACGTGGTGGAGAAATAGCTAGCCAGGGAACAAAACTAGCCAATACGTGCAGCAACGAAAAAGCAGTACCCACACAGGTGCTAGAAGAAATATATTTTCACAGTGAGGCCTTTGCATCTCGCGAAAGACGGCCCTCACGCGAACGCATGAACAGCAACGATACTAAATGGAACGGAACGAATTCCAATGCTAAATGAATGGCGTTTCAGAAGGAAACATAAGCTTAACGAACTGAACGAAATTGGGAAACATTTTTTGACCTCCACTGTCTAACAGTGTCTAAATTGAGGCCTTTTATACTGCAAAATTATCTTTATACCCTAACTCTATAATAAGGAATCTTTCCACAAGCCTCGGGAGCAGGACTCTGTGTACACATGCACTCTTACACTTTTCCAGCAACACACACATGTATATTTGTCGTCATAATAGGGTCTGACATGAATGACTTTGTGTATTGGAAGAGTGCATAATCTGAACTCCCTTATCTTATGTGTAGGTTCGTTAGCGTTCAAGATATCTTTGAGCCAACTGACAATGGACTTGAAAGCCGAGTAAGTTTGTTGTGCATGTGATTTGGTCAGGGTATGAAGTAATGGTCTCCACATTACCAAATGTTGTAGTAGGTGACATGTTTTGGCCCTCTGATTACAAAAAATGGCGCTTTCGTTTGCGTGCATTGAGTTCTCCTGCAAAGTTGGGGGGCATGGCTGTGTGCTTCTAGGCTTGCAACTACGCTCGTCCTGGCTGTTAATGAAGGACGATGAAGCTACTATGCTCTAAACTCGTAGCTCTAAATAAACGAAGCAGAATTTAATTTTGTCTTCTATGTGTGTATGTGGGTCTTGTGTTCGCTGGAATATCCTTGTATACTTCTAGGCCATAACGTTTGATGTTAACGTCAAACCGTATACTCTAGCTGCATGTTTTTACCGTGGTGCACGTGCGCAGCAAAGGTTGTAGTACTTGGTCTGTCTTTCTGTAACATTTTGGTACTGCAGGCTACGAGGCAGCCAATGACAGAGCAATACCAGCTGCTTAAGAGCAACGTGGACATCAGTGGCGATTGTCCTAAAACCTGCATAACATCAGACTTAGTTTACTGCAAACAAAACAAATGAAAAGCACTTGAAAGTGCATAACCCTAGCCACTGTTAATTATGGAGGTTCAATAGCAGAGACTGCTCTTCCTTTTAATTAATTAAGCCATCTACTAATTTCAGCTGTATTGTGTCTTTGGGATAACCATAAAGTTACTGTCACTATCTCAGTGACTCCTTCACTGAACAGATTCGCTTCCTGGCTCTCACTTCACTGGCAATCTCGCTCCTACTCAACTGTCTTTATCTCTATTTGACGCACACTCACCTCGGCAGCCCTCCGTTTTGCCCGCTTCCCCGGCCTTCTCCGCTCCAGAATCTTATTTTACCATGCATGCCTCCTACTTGATAATATGTCAACGTTTCACGCTCAGAGTTGCCGCGGTTACCGAGAAAAACGGTGGACAGACGGACGGACGGACACACGGACACACACACACAGACCGACTGCAATAACCCTCCGCTGCGCATGCGTGCAGCGAGGGTTAATAATGGTCACTAGAAGTCTGTTATAACCAGCCTGCAATGTTTTGGATTTCCAGTGGTGTACATAATTTTTTATGCTTCCAACTCATGGCAGGCTACATAACCTGTCTCTTTGCTCATACACAGGTGTTTGTGTCCAAGTCCTATGATGCAACAACACACTTTGAGACAACTTGTGATGATGTTGTGGATATCTTTCAGAGAGTTACTGGTGAACCATTTGACTTCACCAAGGTGCAGACACATGTGGAGACAGTTGAGCAATAGCCTATTGCTCCACTTATAGAACAATGACTGTGTGCTTATTGAACAGATAATTTTAATTTTGAGCTAACTATACTTAACTCATTACTTTTTGTTGTGTAAATGGTAATAATTTAATTTTTGTGCTGATAACGTTTTACTTTTGCACGCCACCACGTATTAGAACAAAACAGAAAACCATTTGTAAATGAAAACTAGCATAATTCACTGTCACTAAACTGCTGTCGATAATTTCCTTCTGGGAGTGCTACTTGGAACAAGCATTACAGTGTGCTGCAGGATGTAAGAATGGCCCAACGATGACGATGTGCATGAGTGTGGTCTATTATAATTATGAAGGGGTGGACTTAAAGCCATAAGCCAGCAGCCAAACTAAATTTTAAATGACATGCGTGGCTAGGCTAATTTATTATTCTTTCCAAAGTCTCACTGAGATGGGCATCCTGCGCACGAGACTGGCTACTCAAAAAATGCTTGGGTAGGGCATTTCATCCACTCGTTATCTTTATGTCATCCAAGTGTGAATGCATTAACATTATGCGCTACTGTGTGTCTCTTCTAGCTACCTGGAGAAAACCAACAAAATACGAATCACTCAATCCTCACAGACTCTCATAATTATGATGGAGCGAACAGTGTTTGTATTTACCTGGAACTTAAAGCAAGACCTAGTGAAATGTCTAGTCTGGGATTGTAAGTTGATAACAAAATACCTTATATTATCTGAGCTTCCTAAGACTGGTAGCCATTGCCCTCTCTGACAGGTCCTCAGTTTTGACTTCAATGTTTGCTCAACTAACCAGTTTTACAATGCTGCTTTCTATACAGAATCCCTTTGCCAGTCTTCACACTACATCATTCACTAAACAAACTCTTGTCATGAGTAAGAGTGGCGAGAATATAGGGCTTGTGTGGAGTAAAATTTACACGAACAAGAAATGTCAGTTTGAAGATGTACTGTATGTGCATAGGAAACGATAAACGATAGAGATCACTCTTGCGACAATATACAGGGCCTGTGTGGAGTACAATTTACATGAGCAAGAAATGTTAATTTGAAGATATAACAAGCATCCATTGTGCTACTGCATCGCATGCACTAAGTCATCCCTGTCTTGTCTCCTTGCTTTTTTTTATAGGGCATCCCTATAAACTTTTACTTGAATGGTTGATTAGATGTACTTGTTTTTCCGTGCATTTTCTGAAGACCATAATAATCATGTAATGTAGCTTCATCATGAGTGATCTTTAGTAATGTCTGCATTGTCACAGTTAGCTACAATTTGTATTTAGTCCAGATTTCACCTGATCAAGTAAAACCAAAACATGCAAGCAGGAAACCATCATCCATTGTACTACTGCACTAGGTCATCCCTGTCTTGTCTCCTTGTTTTTATGGGCATCCCTATTCGAAGAATTTTTGATTTACTACGCAAAGATTGAAATCCATGACAGGTCGTGCAAATTTGTTTGTAAACAATTTTGTTTACATGTAAACAACAAATATCAACAAAAATAGCCCCAGGCCATGGATTATGATAGAGACCAATAAAATGCACTAACTAGGTAAAGCTAATACCCAGAGTGATAACACTTTGTACACATTGCAACCCATCATTAGTATCGAAATGTAAACATTACATGTTTGTAAACAACAACAAACAGCCTCAGACAATAAAAACTTGTAAAATGTGTTTGTGCCTACAACTTACTTCTGGTGGGTCCTCTAACAATTAAAGTAGGTACACTGATGTACGATGATAAGAGTTCATCAAAACAAAGCATTGCAAGTTTGTAAACAACAGGCGATAAAAACTTGTAAAACGGTGTTTGTGTCTATAACTTGCTTATGGTGTGGGTCTTTTAACAGTGAAACTTGGTACATTGATGTACCATGATAAGAGTTGATCATTACAAGTTATAAACAGCAACAAACAGCCTCAGTCAAAAAACACTTTTAAATGATGTCAGTGCCTATAACTTGCGTATGGTGGGTCCTCTCACAATTAAACTTGGTGTACTTTGGTGGCGAAAGAAACATGTCAACGACAACAAACAGTCTGAGGCAATATACACATGCTACTTTTTATATGGGCATTATGCCCCCAAATTGCATGTGCGTGACGTAAAAAAGGAAAGGAGACAAGTAAATTAAAAATAAAAAGATGGTGAATATAGGGATGTTATAAAAAGCAAGAAGAAAGACCTAGTGAACATGATGCAGTAGTACAATGGATGATGGCTACATACTTTGAACTGACATTGCTTGCTCGTGTAAAATTTCCTCCACACAAGCCCTGTATTATAGCCGCTTTACTCACAACATGAATTTGTTTAGTGTAAGGACAATGGTAAAGGGTTTTCTAGAGGCCCAACAATGAAGCAATTTACGCGAGCAACAAATGTCAGTTTGAAGATGTAACCATCATCCCATTGTACAAATGCGTCACATGCACTAGGTCATCCCTGTCTAGTCTCCTTGCTTTTATGGCATCCCTATATTCGAGAATTTTCTATTTACTGGTATATTTTGGAGTGATGCAGTAGACGTCAATCATTTGTACTTTTTAAGGAGCACCAGAATCTCATTATTGGGCCAACATATCAATTACTACTGTACCATCCCTATATTCACCATTTTTGGTTTTTAATTTTTAATTGACTTGTAAAAAGTAGCATTAATTAACCCTTTGGATGCCATGGGTATCTGCTTAAATAAGCAGAAATTGATGTATAAAGTATTAGTATTGTTGTTGTGTAATTTCTGTTTCTTATCATGGTACATCAGTGTACCTAGTTTCATTGTTAGAGGACCCACCATATGAAAGCTTCAGGAACATACACATTTTACAGTTTACCTGAGGGTGCTTGTTGTTGTTTACAACCTTGTTTGCATTTTCAGGGGCGGTAAAAAAAGTGGGGGCTCAACAAATCATTTCTGTACACATAAGCAAATCAAAACAATATCAAAATGTTTTCTACGTTGATCATGGGCACAAACAAATATAGGTCTGTTACGCATGCGCAATTGAATCCGCGTCGGATGGGCGTGGCTGGCAGCATGAAAAGTGGGGCTCAGCCCCCCTCCTCAAAAAGTGGGGGTGCCAAAGCTCCGCCCCTGATTTTTATACCATAATGAATTGTATATGCACAAAGTTATCACTCTGGGTATTAGCTTTACCTAGTTCACACACTTTGTTTGTCCCTATCATAATGTATGGCCTGGGGCTATTTTATGATGACCTGTTATGGGTTCAAATCTTTCCTGGTTTTTGAGATACGCTTGTCGAAACTAAACAACAACAAGAAGAATAATTATGAAAACTGACTTTCTTGAATAAATCAATTACCGATTATGTAAATTAAGCCATTTCTTGTGTACATGCTTTTTTTACAGGATCAGACTAATATTATGTCAGAAGTGGGAAACTGAAAGGGAAACGTACAAATCTCAAATGTACCTGTGTCTTCCCTGTGTACCTACCGTACTTAGTGATAAAGTGTCCAGCTACATACATTCGGCATATGCATCCATTGTTGCGCTGTCATGATCTGCCACACACCACAACATGTCGTGTGCAGTACCATACAAAGTTGAAAAGTGGGGAAACTGAAAGGGATACAGCAACGATCTACCAAAGGAAAATGACTCAGAGTGGACTAAAGTTCCCCTAGCAGCGCAGCATGCGCGCTACGTATACGTGACCATTACGTTTATGTTACTTCGCCGCTGTGTTCTCCCCAGTGCCTCGGGTTACAAAGGTCATTCCATACTTGTCACTCGTAGCGCGAGTGATGCCACATGGCGCAGTCTGACTGGGGTGAGGTTCGCCGGCTAGCTGCAGATCTTCAGCGTTTGCAGCAGTCATCAACAGCACATAGGCTAACTGAAAGAAACTGTATCGAATTAGTAGCAACCTTAGTGAAGCGAAATTTGCTGGGGTTGGTGTTGTATACGCTTGATGGAAAGGAGTACGTTATGCCTGATCAGTTGGTTCGAGAAATCAAGGACGAGCTTACAGTCCATGGAGGTAACAATCCTTTACCTTTATAGACGCCAATATGCTGTTTATCGTCGTCCTTTCTTAGGTAGGATCAATGTTGTTGACCTTCAGCAGGTAAGGGAGCAGTATAAATATAATAATTATAGTTTTCTGTATATATAAATATACAAGTTCATACAAAATGCAAACCAATGCCAAACTTTCATTGCGAGCTTCAAAGCGAGGGCATGGTTGACATCCCAAATGCCTTTGATCCCCTCATAATTTCATGGTTATCGATGGTAGCAGACAACACAAGCTGATGTACATAGCATCCTTACTACTGTACATTGGACACTGGACACGGAGGTGGGTGTGGTTAACAGTCCACATAAAATTCACGATCATCTGGTTGCTGATGGTGCTGCTATTACATGAAAAGCAAAGGAACAAGCCAGTATGCTAATGAAACATTGGCATCTGAGGATACACAAGGAGGGAGTATCAGATGCAGCATTGACACCTAGTGCTGTGCCTAGCCTTATGAGAGCAAGATCGTACCTTTATTGAGCCCCACACAAATGTTGCGTTGACTGTTTAGCACCTTAGTGACATTCATATTGGTCCATGGGGTGTGCACATGAAGGTGTCGGTTTATTAGTACGCACACACGCAACGGTAGTTACCATACATGGTGTGTATTTTTTCTGTTATTACAACTTGTAGAAGACAGCTACACAACAACTGCTAACCTATGGCTATGGAGAACTGGTCTATGCTCAGAGCTTTTTTGTATTTAAGTAGCTGTGTATTGTTAACATGCACACAAGGGTTACAGTACTTGGTCTGTGTGTCTGTCTGTCTGTGTGTGTGTGTGTGTGTGTGTGTGTGTGTGTGTGTCTGTTACCATGTTTTCTGCCACCATGCGCAAGAAACTGACCAAAAAGCGACACCAACAGGTTCAGTGCTACGCTGGCTTGATCTTAAAAATGGTGATTTTCGTAAAAATACTGCGTTTTTAAGTTATGGTGTGAAAACCAAGTGAACAAGCCAATGTGCTAATTAGCACAGGCTTACCTCGATCGGGTCCACTTGCTAGCCCGTGTCCGACTCTCCGTGAGCTACTAGCGGGAGACCGCGAGTAAACGCATACTACAAATAGCCCAGCCCATCAATTAGCGGTGCCGCGCATGCGCAGTTCGCTGAGGGTTTGGACTTAAGTGCTTTTCATTGGTCAAGGAACTTCCACGAAAGAAAACAGCGTTTCGACCTTAGTCTTTTTCAAGTGGGATGGAGATTTGAAAAGGTGTACAAAGTGGAAAGTGGGTAGACAAAATCACAAAAGCAAAATAATGGAGAAACGGGTGGGTTGAGGAAACATTTACAGTTCCAGATTAAGGCCTGTAAGAGAGGGGTGTCAAGCTAGTTGATCCTGGCTTAAACTTTCCTCGTAGTTATCATCCTGGCTTCTCATTTTCTTTGGGAGGTGCTGTAGTGAGTGGTTCGGGCTTGAAAAATGAGCTCCAACAGGTTTTATTCATGTACCTGATGTCGCTGCAGTAACCAATAATGGTTTCCTCCGAACATGCTGTATTAGAGTAAACGTTTAGTTTGATCCTGTTCTCACTAGCCAATTGTCAATCACGACGATTCATTCCCAACATTTAGGGGACACAGAATAGAGTGATTACATATGTAGTAGAGGTGGTTGATGATTGTGCATATGTGATTTTACACATATATAATGAAAAGCACTAAAGTGCAAAACCTCGGCGAACTGCGCATGCGCAGTACCGCTAATGGATGGGCTGGGCTATTGGCGTTTACTCGTGGTCTCCCGCTAGTAGCTCGAGGAGAGTCTGACATGGGCTACCTAGTAGATAGTATGCGGGAGTCAATACAAACCCTTTGCTGTGGCTTCTTGTGCCTCCAAGGTACACAGAGCAAGCAGATCAGGTCGAGGTGAGCCACCCTAGCGTTGATCGCACGCATGCGCACCGCTTATTGATGGGTTGGGCCGCTTATTGATGGATTGCATAGTAGTCCACACATGCACCAAGCATTTATCAAGGTCAGGTTAAGGCTAAACCCTGTTATCCCATAGCTCACTCCCTTGAAGTTAACAAGACCAAGACAAGATTTATGTAGTCCTCCAGAAAGCTCCTGCAGCTTGTGTCAGATTGCAATGGCCTCTCTGAGGTGCAAAACTTGACTGACGCACTGAACATCACACAAAACCCACTCCTTTCTGCCTCTATGTCCACCTATTTCGCCACTGAGCCCTTGAATACCTAACCTGAAGTTCATTAGGTAGATTAGCCCCACACATATCCTCCGTCAGCTTGTTTATAGCGCTGTTCCTCTCCTCTTGAAACGTTCAACTCTCCCTCCACCAATGCTATCCCGTAGTACACCCATGAAGCCTTTGAAAGAGCACTCCTTCAGGATTGTGATGCAGATACTAGAGTTTACAGTTATTGGACTCATTTCCGGCTTCCTTGTTTTAACGTCTTCATCAGACTCTTGATTGACAAGATTATCAACCGGAGTATTCTGGTCAATAGAGCTTTAAAACAGACCATAGTAATGATCACAATGAAACCCCATGTCCTTAAAAACCACTGAATGATATTCACCATAGATTGTAGTCTCTGATTGTGCTTTTCATGTAACCAGGGGAAGTAAGATTTGTTTCAGTTTTAGAGGGGAACCTAAGGGTGGCCTTTTCTCACTACCAGAATTAAAAACCCTTGCCTATATTTGCCTGGGGTATTTTTAAGCGTTAAAAAAAGACACAAAAGTGAGAGTAGCACTGGGGTTTTTGTTCTCTGCTGTTAGGCCGCAAATGATTTTGTGCGTACTTCCTTATCAACAGGCATTAAATGTGGATCTGAGCCATATTGAAGTCAGGATCAGTGAGATGATTAAGCACGACCGCTCCCTTACATTACTTCATGGAGAAATCATTGAAAGGTGTGTATTTTTCCTGTTCTTCGTACGTGTCTTTGAGATGTTAGGCTTCAGCAAAGTTAAGGAGTATGGTGGAGACACGTTTGCCACATTCTAACAGTGATACAGTTATGCAATTGAGGGTGCATGCACTGAGACATGCACATACAATACTTAATACTCTCACATAAACCCTGAGCAGGGAACACCCCTCTACTCGTAAAAGACAGGAATTTCTGGTTAGAACTCAGTCATGAAGGTGGTGATGTACCGGGCTTCGTACAGGGGCAGACATACTTGCTCTGATCCGGAGCATCCACATGATAGCAGGGTTGGGAGTGATCCAGATCGTCAGAGCACATGGTAAACGTAATGTTTCTGCCTGCCTCAGCCAGCGTAGGCTTAATGTTTCCATCCATAATACATAGATACGGCTAATATCTTTGGTAAGCCTCCGTTTTATATCTTTCTGTTCCTAAGAGTTTTATTTTGCCTGTATTGATAATTTTAGGCATATTTTGGTTTCCTAGGATGAATTTACAGCATTCAGATTGGTCAAAACATGGACTCCAAAATGTTGTGCATTGTAGTGGACACAAATTGTCTGCTTGAAATAAAAGGTGTATATAGGTAGGGTACGCGAGAAGTGGTGCATTCTAATGCCGGACTCTACCAAGTATTAAGAGTACCGATACTGCAGGGGAGAGGAGGTCTCCTCTTGCCAAAAATCTATAGAGGCATCTTTGAGACCAAGAAAAATATTACGGCTCACCTTTAGTTTGTAGACAATTGGTAAAAACGGTGGTTTTGGAGGTCCCTCGGAGTTAGGCTGATTTGACAGCCATTTTTACTTGTTAAGCTCCCAGACTCGAAAGTCAGTATCGCCAATTAACATACTATCTATGTACCTAGTCGATTTAACTCACTGCTATGTGTGGTGGAAAAAACGGGCTCGTCTCTGCTTGTAAAATGAAGTGCAAACTCTCGGCGCATTGTGACGCGCACGCGTAAGTAAACGCATGCGCGGTACCACTAATTGATGGGCTGGGTTTAGTTTTAGCTGTTACTCGTGGTCTCTTGCCAGCTTGCGCAGAATCTGACACTGGCTAACTACACTACTAGATAGCATGCGACAGGCGATACACGCCCTGCGTTGCATCTTCAGGTGCCTCAGAGGTACGCAGAACACGCGGATCGATCAGACCATGGTAATTAAGCCGTCCCGTCATTGTGTATTTGCATATTGGCTTTTTTGCGCTCTAGCTTTGCAACGGAGCTGTTTCAGAGAAAACGGTTCGAAATTTCTGACCTTCATTGCTAGTTAAGTAGGTCGTATCCTTTGTGAGACGAACAAACATTCGAGAAGTGAGATGTAGAGTAACAGACAGACAGACAGACAGACACACAGACCAACTACCATACCCTCGCTGTGCATGCGCGCCGAGGGTAATGAAGACAGCCTAGCCTGTTGGTACATATCACTTTTTGCAGCCTTTAGTGCGAATATAGTGCTAACAGACAGACAAAGTACTAATGCTCATGCACGGCGAGAGTTAAATAACCAGTGAGCCGAATAGAGGATTTTTGATGCATCTTACCTAAGGTGCTGTCACACATACTCAATAGCGCTCACATTTATCCCACACGGCGTGTGCATCCTAGCCAGTGTAGCGCTGAACCTTTTGGTTCTTTTGTTGTCACGTTGTGGCTGAAAACGTAACAGACGGGCGGAATGACAGACAAACATACACGCTCATGAACCAAGTACTGTAATCCTCACTGCGAATGCATGGCAAGGGTTTAAATTACATTCTTACTGCATTTACTTTTTCTTCTTGTAGGACGTACATGCAACATTTATGTGAAGAAATCGGTGATATAATAGAAGAGACTGGTGAAGCCTCACTTGCTGACCTTAGTCGAAATTTCAGTTTGCCAATCAACTTTTTAGTTAAGGTATGCTTATTGAATAACCCATTTGTGGAATGGTATTTGATCTTCTCATGCAGGTAGCAGTTTCAAAATGTAATTGGTAGACTAAAATAACGTACAAGATAGGTCTAAATTAGATCATTTACGTCTCTAATAACGCAACTGACAAAAGGGGGGAAATATAGGCAGGATTCGAACAAAGAAACTCTGGTGAATGCATTACCGAACCGCCTGGGCCTACAAGTGTAGAGGGCCAAAGTGTTACGTTGTTGCACATGCAGTTTGTGTGCAGTTTTGAGCTATACAGTAGGAGTAAAAAACCGTTTCCAGTTTCGTTCCATTTCTTTCCGTTTGCCGTTCACTATCGTTCCGTTCCGTTTCCTTTCAGTTGAATTCTCCGTGACACGCCCTCCGCAAACGCGGTAGAGACTCGCTAGCGGGGGAGCGAAACAAGGTTTTTTCTTAGCGCAAACGCGAAACAATGAGAATGCAGTACCCACTAGGTGCTAGAAGAAATATCTTCACAGTGAGGCCTTCGCATTTTGCGAATTACGGCCCTCACGCGAACGCGTGTACGGCAACGATTCTAAACGGAACGGAACGAATTCTAACGGTAAATGAACAGCGTTTCAGAAGGGAACGGAAGCTCAACGAAACGGAACGGAACGAAATTGGAAATTTTTTGACCCCTACTGTAGCTGTATGCAACGGAAGAGAAAGTCAGGAATGTAGCATTTGTAAATCCTCAGAGTAGTTTGAGGATAGCATTCGGAATGGGCCTTAATGCCCTGATGTATAGAAAGTTATACATTATATAGTCCTGACAGCATCGAGTCTTATATCCAGGTCGGGATGGGCGAGACTCATTTGCTACTCTTTACTTCAGAAAGCGAGATGTTGATTTTTTTAAGCATCGGATGGCATATTTTTTCCATCACCCATTCATAAGTGCTGTGATATGTGTAAGCTTCAAGTGTTCGTGTCAAACCTGTAGTGACTATGCCCCTCTTTCTCCAATGGACATCATCAACAACACGTCAAGAACTTTCTTCAGAGCAACAGCATACTCTTTGTAAGCTGTTGACGGTATAAAGATAGGGTCGCTGTGGACTTCCAGTTTACATGACTATGTCATATCAAACATTGTCAAAAAGGTATGTTGGGTTTTAGGTCGGCCGAATACTCTTTGACCTCTCGATTAAGGTGCTCCCATGCAAAGGTCAAGTGCAATAATCTTTCCCTTACCACCACTTGTGTTAACCTGTTCCACTAGCTGATGGGCAACACGTTGCCATAACACTCCCGCTAACAGATGGTTCTTTTTTGAGTACTGAAGTACATTAGTAGAACTTTCCAAACAATGCATGATGCAGTGGCCACATCGCCCTCCATGTATAGCCTCTTCAGTGTAATCTGAAGGAGGAGTAAAATCGAGTAACTCTTAAGATTATGCATTTAAGTCATTTTGACTTATATACATGGGGTTAATAAGGGTTCTTGCCTTTTGCAGTTCTCAGTTCAGATCTATGCTTTTGGCCTTACATGCATTCCATGAAGGACTGACGTGAACACAGCTCTTCAGCACTCAATTCACTACTACAAAGCTGATGGAGTAGCTGGTCCCTTTACCCATCATTTCTTTTATGACCATATCAACTTTTGTCCCCACCATATGCAACTGGTATCTTCTGACTAGATAGTACTTACCGCAGTTGACTTCTGTTGCATCTACAGCACAGTAGGGCAATTTCTAAAGAAGTAGTCACCCTAGCATCATTGCATAGTTTCGACACAGCACCTTGCTATCTTCAGCCGTCGGCAGGAAAAGAGAAGGGCAAGCTCATAACACCACCAATTGGTGTATCATACCGAAGATTAGTACATGTCACCCTGTCTAGTGCTGCATAACACGTGTAAATAATGGAGTGATATCAATGGTCATGGATTCACACTCTTGTCGATGTTGTCTGCAACAACTATGTACGTTGAGAGGTTTACAGGACCCAGTCACCTGCAACATTAAAAAATATAAGCATAACTATAACAAAATTTTGGCTCTTTACAGCTACTAGCTCCTCGGACGAAATGCATATGCCTTAAGATTCACTTGTGTCAAGTCCGCACGCTTAGGGTCGTTCGAATTAAAGGGGTCGTTGCCATGGCTCTAAATCAATTTGAAGCCAATTCTCCAAAACCACGTGATTTCCAAAGCCTCAAGCCCTTTAGTGTATGTTACATATACGTATATAATATATAGTAATAGTAGCGGCCCTTGATGGTGCTCAGTCAGCTACTGCCCAAAAGCCCGCTGCTTTCTAAATCCGCAGAATTTCCTCGAATTGGCGTCTAGCAAGAGCGCTAACTTATTCCGTTTTGAAATGCCAATTTGAAAACGGAATCCCAAGGGGACTAGAGACTCTATAGTAAGAGACTAGTTCGAGGGGTAGTCACTACGTTGTAATACCAATCCCTGCTACCATTGGCGGTCAGAAATTCATTGTAAGGGGGTCTCTAGAGAGGAACGACTATGGTAGAATCTTTGTGTAGCACGATCAAACCCAATATGAAGCCTCCAATGCTGATCGGTTGATGGTTTCTACAGCTAAAACTCTCTCATTTTTTTTCCCAGCATATTGAAGTAGCACTTGAGAATAACACAATAAGAGGCCAACTTGACAAGTCTGATACTGGCATCATATTCACCGAAGCTTATGTTAAAAGGTATAGTTATGTAACTTACTGTCTTGGCTACCTAACTGTTTTCATGTACATGTGTCAGATAATTTAACTGATTAATTACCTGTGAACACTCACTTTATTGTTGATTTACAGTTTGTGTGTCTGTTACTGCATCTGTGATTTTCATTTTCCAACTTATAGAAAAGAGTTCTTTGTTTTGTACTTACTCCGTTACTTACTATGATTCAATGTCTAGTGGCGTGCTCAGGGAATGGTTTGCTGATTATGTGTATTAGCTTGATGTACTATCTGAGATAGCTGCATACACGGGCTTTTGCACCATCAGGCTCGTTCTTAGTGGCCCTAACTGCCTCCTAAGGTAGTTTCACTACCCAACTGGCTGCTTGTGAGCATACACATAGTATTTTAGAAACTCGGTACTACCATTAATAGTTCTTCAAAACCTCATTACATTAAACATGCCAATGTCATAAAATCGTCACCACATTTACACATAGGCTAATTTCATCACACTTTTCCTGTGGTAATAATATACGAGCTAGTTGCAAACCCTTAGTGCAATAGGATTATGTGCGTGATAAGTATGTGTTGTGTGTAAAGCACCTCTAATTGATGGATCAGGCCACGCCACGCTGTCTAACCTGTCGATGAAGCCACTTGCTTAGTAGTTGCATCAGGTAGTGTGCATAGCACACTGGAGTTGGTGCTTGTCCTCCAAATACTTTCATCTGTCTACTTCGCGCTGAATGGTCCTGGCAGGTAAACTAGTACTTAGTATGGTTTTCATGCCATGAATGCAGTCGTTTTAGTCGCCTTCATATTGCTCATGCTCTAAGCCGTTGTTATTACTCACCTCGTGCTAGACATGCAGGGAGACACACAGACAAACACACAGACACAAGTACTCTAACCCTCCCACTTGCATATACTTTTTACAGCAGTTATAAGGAGAAGACCATACTTGTGGATTAAATCTCTGAATTTTAAATAATATATAGGTATAAATCACGTATCAGAGGTGTCTTCAATGCTGTTACAGTACCAATGGCCATCAGCAGCGTCGTAACAGAGGGGAAGTATCAGGATAAGCTGTTCAATGGTAAGTATCTTTGGTGAGCAGTGCAAACCTAGGTTTGTGTGGTTCAGTTTATAACACAACGAGGGTTACAGTTCTATTTGTATTAAGGGAGTACCTCAACGTTTTTAAACTTCATGGGTTCATGTACTGTGAAAAAATCTTCAGACATTTAGGCTCTGTTTTAATGCCTGATTCGTACATTTTCTATAGGAGTGGGATAATGTGCGCAGTAAATAGAGGTCGCTCACGCATTCACACGTACATGCACAATTGCTTTGTGCGTGTTCTACGGTGTTCATTTGACAAACTTGTGAGAGCCAATAAATTCCTACATGTTCTATTCCATGTTCGTGCATGTCAGCTACATTTACATGGAACAGGACATGTAGGAATTTTTGGCCTCCCAACAAGTAACACCGTAGAATGCACGCAACAATAGCTTGACCGTATTTCGCCTGTTTGCACTCATGGAGGTGTCAGAAATTACAACGCAGGGCGTGTGTTGAGTCTCGCAATGTCTCTCTACAACTTGCCCATGTGAAATTCTCAATAAGCTACGATAGTTTAGCACAGCCTATTAATTAGCGGTTCTGACCTGTGCATGCGTATGGGTGCAATGCTCATACGCACACGTTTAGTTTAACTCCATACGCTACATACAGTAATTAAGTGTGGTTGACTACCTTGCTCCTCAGCGTGGTTGTGCATGTTATCCATTATGGTTACCTTTGGCAGGAACCCGGCCGGTGTTGGGCGTTGCTCGTGCCCGGGTGTGGTCCCCAGCTTAGGTGGATCACATGACCACACGTGAGCATGCTGACTGCTCCTCCCCACTGTTTGGGGGGGAGGAGTATATGCCGAGCCCCTCCTCGACACGGTCGCAAGTGGGAGGGGCGCGGTCACCGCCCAAGGATAGTTATAGGTCCCCCCAAGGCGTGGGGTTGGACTTAAAATAGATATGGTTGTTTAGAACAGTGTAGGGTACACAGATAAATGAGAGGTGAATAGAGGGTAGGCAGGAAGGAGGACAAAGATGGACCTGAATGAGTCTTACAGAGTTACGGTTGTGCTGCTAGGCGGCGGGAGATAGCTGCCAGGTGCTCCCTTGGCATCCTAATGTATTGGAGGAAGGCGAATCTCTGCCATCGTCCGAGGGCCTGTATTGTCGAGTCCTCTATGCCTGCCAGGGCTTGCGGTGACCCAGGTGGGCTGACCATAATATAATCATCCAGGTAGTGCAGCAGGTGGTTCACCCCCGCTCGGGAGAGATGCCAATGGAGGGCATCGGCCACGGCATTAAAGATTTTCGGTGCTGAGCGTAGCCCGAATGGGAGCATGGGGTCTATGTATATCTGGTCTTGCCATCACACTGCCTGTAGTGGGCGGTCGTTGGGGTGGACTGGGACAAGGCGGTACGCCGATTCGATATCCACCTTGGCCATTAGCACACCCGTTCCCAATGTGATGACAATGTCGGCAACTCTGTCTACCCGCCCGCCACAGCGCACCGGCTATACCGCGGGTGTGCGGACGCTGACCTACGATGCACTATGATATTATTACAATATATGTACCTGGGGCTGAGGTTGAGGCGGGAGCCAGAATCGCCGCCGAAGTACTAGTCGCACCGGATGGCCCTGATCCGTTTGGGCTGGTGGTGGGGCTGCCGCCCGTGGCCGCGAGTGAATCTGTCGTCGGAGACGTCAGCGCCGGTGAGGGCGTGAGTCTGCAAGCTCGGAGGTACGCCTCTTGGGCCGGAGTGAACGGTGAAACCATTGCTGGATCTCGTGGGCAGACGATTTCGAGAAGTTCCTCAGGAAGACAGCAGACAACAGTCCAGCAGTGTTGCTGCAGCGTCTGATCTCCCGCAGTTTGTGCGGAACCCCGTGCATGCGTGCCAGCAGTTGCACGTTGCGTGCGGCGATGCCCCGCGGGGGCGTGACTGTAAGCCAGCCAGGGCTCCTGCCGTTAACTACGTTTAACTCCGTTAAACTCCATACACCGAGGGTTTGCACAACTCATGGCCATAAAATTGCATAGGTAACATAAGCCACAAAGCTTTTTGCTACCATTAAGAAATGAAAAACACTAAAGTGCAAACCCTCGGCAAACTGCGCATGTGCAGTACCGCTAATAGATGGGCTGGGCTATTAGCGTTTACTTGCGGTCTCCCGCTAGTAGCTCGCGGAGAGTCTGACACGGGAAAGCTACGGTAGTAGATAGTATGATAGAGTTGATACGCCCTTCACTGTGGCTTCTTGTGCCTCCAAGGTACACAGAGCAAACGGATCAAGTTGAGATAAGCCACCATATCACGTGGACCACGTTTAATATACGCATGTGCACCGCTAATTGATGGATTGGGCCATGCAACGCAGTCCGCAACCGTGCCAGTTTATTGCTCTCGAATGCAGTCGTTTGAGTTTAGTTCTGAAGCCATTGGTATTGTTTATAGGCCGCCTCGTGGCCTGTAGTGCCAGAATAAGCGTCGACAGACAAACCGAGTACTGTAACCCTCGCTGCGCATGCGCGCCGAGGGTTAATGAAGGGATTTTATGTATTAAACATAGAATGGGGTTATAGAACATTTGACATCCTTGATATTGAAAGGATGCTGGCCGAGTGGACCAATTATTGTATGCCTTATGTGTGTTTTTTTTCTTAGCTGTACTGCAGCAACTGATCTCCGATCGGGATATATGTGGATATCTAAAAGGACGACAAGACAAAGCAGTGTATATACCACATATCTATGTTCATAACCAGAACAAATGGGCAGACTCCTTCCTTGAAGCAAATGGCTTCTTAGGTAATGTTGCTCATTAAACGTTCATGAGGAACTGCCAATTTGTTGGCAAGCAAAGCAGGCCTACATAGTCGTCTGAATGCATGGATTTTCTGTACATTTCTTTATATTATGGCGGGAAGTTAAGGATTGCTCATACAACAATGTTCTTTGTTTTTCTAAATATGCAAAATTGAACTGCTTGTGCTCACTCGCCAAAAATGTATGGCATTCCTTCTAGTATCAAAATGCATTATTTCACACAGCAAACCTTGGTGGTTAGAAACATTATGTAGGTTATCATATTGTAGCACGCACAAGTTTGAGATTGAACTATGCGTTTTTTGACAAGCTCCGCATGCAGTGATGAAAACCGCGCTTTGGCAGCTTCCGGTCGAGCACTATATTGGGTTGTATTAAAATTGTGCATGGAATTAAGCTTGCATAGTGATGCCTACAAGTAGGACAGGAATTCCTCTTCCCAGCTGACAGCCCAAGCTTGCTCATAAATAATAATTCTGTCCTGGTCTTACACAATAGCAATTAGTGTGAACATTTAGGCAGTTGTGTGGTGCATGTTTTGCATCCTACCACCATGTTTTTACATGACTACTCTGCTCATGTCCGTGTTTCTACCTCCTCATGTAATCCTCTCCAAACTCGAGTTACTTCTTTTTGTGCTCATGTTTTATTCACACGCATGCAGACTAATTGAGTGTGTGTTTTAACTCCGCAATATTAGTTGAAGGTGGCACCTGACCCTTTAAGATCATTTAATAGAACTCTAGATCACACGTAAGCACATTTAAAAAATGACTTGCTTAAAACCTTTCATGTCATGTTTCATGCTTTCACATGTAAGCTATTTATGTGCACTTGGAACAGGACATGCAGTTCAGTTGGGTACGCAAATTCCTACCTACATATGAACCAATCTCCGTTGGCATTTTAAAATGGGTGGAACGGAACTCATGATGATTGAGACATAAAACCTAGGCCTTAAAAACATTCTTGGCATAAAAATATAATTTTCGTCTGGTGTAATACCGCTTCATTCTAGCCCACATTTTGAACAATTACACCCAACTTTTATAGAGTATGATGCACTATCCCGGCTTGGAATTGATGACCCACGTGAGTTTGTATCCCGTCGTTACTGTGATGATGAGAAAAGTGGTGATATACTGCTTTTATCAACATGCTGTGTTGGTAAAGCTGTAATAAGCCGAGTTGAAGGTGTTGTTGAGGAGGTGTTAGGGTCAGGAGAATGGGCCGATGCCATGGTAAGTATTTTTAGCAGTATTTTCCATAAAATAATTGTTTTATTCCTACTAGCCGTTGTTGCCATCACCATGCACTCCTCATGATGTTGAGTTACTACTGAAAAACTACTTGAGTGTACAACCTGATCTACGAATATTTGGCAGTATTTTAACAACCAAAACCTTCATGCACAACTGTTGTGACCTTTTTAAACCAACTGTTGCTGAAAGAGCAGAGAAGGTATGCAGATCCATTTAATAAGTACGGTAGTACAGGGATGGGCATGGTATATACCTAGCATCATGGATGTGTAGGGCTATGATAGGGAGTTTTGTTCATCGTCTTCTTCAGATTGAACTCGCGCAACTCAAAAACGAAAAAAAACAGACAGTAATGAAATTTTGTAAGAATATAGATATCCGTAACCCGAAGAGATTGGTCATACTTATTTGTTTGTGAACAACCTTATTTGCTCTAAACAACAACAAAGAGCCCCAGGCAATGCATTATAATGGGGTCACATGTGTCAGTGTAAGTCATAATTGGCAAGAGCTACGTGAACGAAACTTTGTATACATAATGTATTCAATCACCAACATCAAAATAACAACAATACATGTTTGTAAACAACAAATAGCCTCAGGCACTTTTCTTTAAATTTACTTCATACTTCTTCACTCCTCAAACTTTCTAATGGTAGTACGCATGGAGGTGAAACTTGGAACGCATGCGAAACTTATGTTTCCATGACGACTACATATTGTTTGAACAAAAACAAATAGCCTCAGGCACTTCTCCTTAGACTTGCTAACGCACGTGCTTGCACTTTTCTTCTTTGTTCCTCCAAACTTGTTAACAGTAGCAAGCATGGAGATGAAACTTGGTACGCATGCGTATTACATCGTTTCCATGACGAACATATATTGTTTGAACAACAACAAATAGGTTCAGGCATTAACTTCTTCACTCCTCCAACTTGCTACTGGTAGCACTCATGGAGATGGAAACTTGGTACGCATGCGTATGACATTGTTTCGATGATGATCACATATATTGAACATCAATTACAAATAGCTTCAGGCCTGTACTTCTTCACTCTTCAAACTTGCTAATGGCAGCACTCATGCACATGAAACTTGGTACGCAAGAGTATTACATCCATTTCCAACTGGCTTTTTTCTATTGTTAATTTTTGTAGGGGCTTGCCTCCTTTAACAGAGTATAGTAAATCCTGAAAGTCTTTGAACCAACGTTTTGCATCCGAACGCGGAAATCGCCCATGCTCAAGACGCAATTAACGTCTGCGTGAGTTTTCGTGCGTGTATAAACATCCAAATCTTTCTTGCGTGTACGTGTTGCGTCCGTGTGCGAGCGTTTGCCTGAGTGTGTGTGCGTTTACGTTTGCCTGCGTCTGCATGCACGTTTGTGAAATGATGCGTAAAAAGGCGGGGCAGCTTCTGCGCGTGCAAATTCTGGCGCGAAAGACAGCTGGCTCTGGTCGAATTCTCTTTGGCTGCCACTGCGTTCATGCATGCGTGGTGTGCGCATGAAGACTGCGTGAGTTAAAAAATTGCGTGCGTGAGCCTGGGAAAAATTGCTTCTGTGTGCGTATGCGAATAATTACGTCTGCGTATGGCGTACGGTTCATTGCGTGTGTTTAATAAAATGTCTGAACACGTGTAGACGAAGAAAAGATTCGCGCGCAAATTCACGTTGGGTTCAGAGACTTTCGGGATGTAACTATGAGCAGTGTTTGACAGAGACTACTAATGATACAGACAGCAAGTGGAAGATTTTCTGATGCACTTCTCTTAAAAGAAAGAAAACCCACCAGCAGCAGAAAAGGTGGAGGAAGAAAAGGGGGAAGGGGTAGGGGGCCAGATGATCCGGAAGAACATGGTTTGAAGGCAACATCGTTCATGAGTCTGGAAGAAGTAAGTTATTGTGGAGTTCAAGAAATCACAAATTACTAATCTTTTCTTTTAGATAGCTACCGAGCTGACCAAAAGCTTTCCAGACTGCCCTACTGGGTTTTTAACAGATGTTGCTGCCAAGATTGAGAGGTGACTAACCAAGTACTGTTACCCTCGCTAGCTAATATTGATATTGGAGGCCTATAGGGGCTTTAGGTTTATTATGCAGTCATCTAACTGGTTCTTCACCCAGATATTTTTTTGTGTTATGCTGCAAGTACATCAGTATTTTTATAGTTCGCTCCAGGAATTGTATGTCAGGAAGGTGGAGGAGTGCATCTCAACTGCAAGCCAGGATACATCAGCAAGTGAGCGGAGAAAGAGACATTCGGAGCTTCAAGATAAAGTACAAGCCCTCTGGAATATGCTGCAACTCTTTGAGAAGGCTACCTCACAGTTTGAAGGTTTGTCTATCAATAGTGTGTGTAGTTAGTGGTGTGCAGAAAATAAGAGGAATACATGTATTATCACTAAGTACGGAAGTACTTAGTACAAGTAATTAAAAAAATTCTGCGAATTAAAAAAGTGTGGAATATAGGGATGCCATAAAAACAAAGGAGACAAGACAGGGATGACCTGGGCATGTGATACAGTAGTACAATGGCATGATTGTTACATCTTCAAACTGACATTTTTTGCTCATGTAAATTTTACTCCACACAAGCCCTATATTGTCGCCACTCTTACTCATGACATGAGTTTTGAATAGTGTAGTGTGAAGACTGGCAAACGAATTCTGTAGGGAAAGCAGCATTAAACCGGTTAGTTGAACGAACATTGAAGTAAACAAAGTCACGATTCAAAACTGAGGACCTGTCAGAGAGGGCATTTGCTACCATTCTTACGTGCATAGGAAACGAGTCATAGCTGCACATCATACGATAGATATCACTCGTGCTTTGCGACAATATAGGGCTTGTGTGGAGTAAAATTTACATGAGCAAGAAATGTCAGTTTGAAGATGTAACAATCATCCCATTGTACTACATGCCCAGGTCATCCCTGTCTTGTCTCCTTGCTTTTTATGGCATCCCTATATTCCACACTTTTTTAATTCGTAGAATTTTTTATTTACTTGTCTCCTTTCCTTTTTTTACAGAATTGGGGCATAATGTCCATATAAAAAGTAACACGTATCTATTGCCTCGGACTGTTAGTCGGCGTCTACATTTTTATTTCACTTCCAAAGTAGATAAGTATACAAAGTTATAGGAAAAACAGATTGTTAATTGCCTGAGGCTGTTTGTTGTTCTTTACAAACTTGTAATTCATGTTTCAATGAACTCTTATCATAGTAAATCAGTGTACCAAGCTTCATTGTTAGAGGACCCACAATAAGCAAGTTACAGGCACAAACATCATTTACAAGTATTTATTGCCTACGGCTGTTTGTTGTTGTTTACAAACTTGTAATTCATGTTTCAATGAACTCTTATCATAGTAAATCAGTGTACCAAGCTTCATTGTTAGAGGACCCACAATATGCAAGTTATAGGCACAAATATCATTTACAAGTATTCATTGCCTGAGGCTGTTTGTTGTTGTTTACTAACTTGTAATTTCTATTTCGATGAACTCTTATCATGGAACATCAGTGTACCAATTTTCATTGTTAGAAGTCCCACCATAAGCAAGTTACAGGCAATAATATAGTTTACAAGTTTTTATTGCCTGAGGCGTGTTTGTTGTTGTTTTACAAACTTGTAATTTCTGTTTCAATCAAACTCTCATCATGGTACATCAGTGTACCAAGTTTCATTGTTAGAGGACCCCACCATAAGCAAGTTATAGGCACAAACACATTTTACAAGTTTTTATGCCTGAGGCTGTTTGTTGTTGTTACAAACTTGTAATCTTACATTTTGATACTAATGATGGGTTGCATGTGTGTACAAAGTTTTATCACTCTGGGTATTAGCTTTACCTAGTTAGCACACTTTATTTGTCTCTATAATAATGTATTGCCTGGGGCTATTTGTTGTTGTTTACATGTAAACAAATTGTTTACGAAAAGAAATAAAAATGCTCTTGCACGCCGGGTCACGGATCCAATCTGTGTGCAAAGTTTGATCTTTACATAGTTGCTGGTAGCTGTTTTTGCGTCGTTGTTTCGTAGTTAGATATGCTTGTTGAAACTGAACAACAACAACAACAGACTTTTTTGAATAAATCAAGTGGTGATTATGCGATTTAAGCTATTTCTTGAATACATGCTCTTTGTGACGATACAAATTAGTCTGATGTGTCAAAAGTTGGATCTGATTGAAATAGAAAGTGAAATCATGAAAATCTCAAATGTGTGGGCTTAATGCATTTTAGATTTTTATGTTTCACTTTCTATTTCAATCATATCCAACTTTAGACACATCAGACTGATCCGTATCGTCACAATGAGCGGCTTAAATCACATGATCGGGCACTGATTATCAAAAAGTCGCTTTTTCTTATTCTCGTTGTTTTGGGTGATAAAGTTTTTGTGTTTGGAGTGGCGGGGGGAAGGTAGTGCGACGTTGTGCGAGCGTGGTCTGTGGGAGGTTTGCTGTGGTGGTTAAGTGTATAGTCAGTTTGGTTTGGTGTCCCACACTTTTACTTCCTTTCATTCCCGGGTGTGTCCACATTCTTCTCGCCTTGCGGACCCTCTCCTTCTCCCCCTTTTGTTGCTCATTCCTCCCCCTTTGTCTCCCCTTCTCGCTTATTGATTCCGGCATGCCCCGTTCTTGCCTTTGACCCCCTCCGGCCTCCTTTGCCCCCGCCGGTTCTTGGGGGGGGGGGGGGGTTCGGGTGTAGGGTGCGCTGAGGCCATCTTTCTTCCACTTCCTGCGGGCCACTGGGCGCCGCGGGCGTGGTTGGGTGGGGGGCTTGCCCTTTTGCTTCCCTCGTTCTTCCTTTTATCGCTGCTATGCGGGGGGTTGGGGGGTGTTTCTTTATCCCGTTTTCCCCGGCCTACATATGGGAGGGCACGCTTCTTGTTCGGGGCATGGGTAGGGGGAACGGTTTCCTCATCTGGGCGCCTCTTCTTCCTCTCCCCTATGCTTTCCTCTTCCTTCTGTGATTTGCGCCTCATTTGAGCCCAGGGACGGGCTAGCCGCATCCCTCTCATGCGCTCGGTCCCCCCGTTGTTTTGACTCGTAAAATTTTTTCTACTCTCTTCAGTCCCTTCCTTTCCCTCTTCTATTCAGTGCCACGTTCGGGGCCTTTCTGTGTGGGTGAGGGGGCGGCAAGGGTGGGGCAGGTTATGGCTTCCGGCTCCTCTCTCCCCCCCTGCCCTTCTCTTGATATATTTCACCCCTCAACTCTCCCGGGGCTCCCCGCGGTAAGTTTTTATGAACGTGTCGTTCAGTTAGACCATGGTGTATCTCAAAAAACAAGGTAAGAATGGAGATGAACCTTGCCAAAGATTGGAATCCATGACCCGGCGTGCAAGAGCATTTTAATTTTTTTGTAAACAAAAAAAACAACCAAAAAATAGCCCCAGCCCATACATTATGATATAGACAATTAAAGTGTGCTAACTAGGTAGAGCAAGTACCCAGAACGATAAAAGTTTGTACACACATGCAACCCATCATTAGTATCAAAATTACAAACAGCCTCAGGCAATAAAAACTTGTAAATGGTGTTTGTGCCTCTAACTTGCTTATGCTTGGTCCTCTAACAATGAAACTTGGTACGCTGATTTACCATGATCATAGTTCATCGAAACAGAAATTTAAAACAACAACAAACAGCCTCAGGCAATAAAAATTTGTGTGTAAATGGTGTTTGTGCCTATAAATTACTTGTGGGTGATCCTCTAGCAATGAAACTTGGTACACTGATTCACCATGATAAGTGTTCAGTAAAACAGAAATTACAAGGTTGTAAACAACAAGAAACAGCCTCAGGCAAAAATGACTTTTAAATGGTGTCAGTGCGTATAACTTGCTTATGATAGGTCCTCTCACAATGAAACTTGGTGCACTGATGTAATGTGAATGACGGCAAAACATCTGAGGCGATAGCTAAAGGCCACTATTGTTACTTTTTTATGGGCTTATGCCCAAAATATTATTGCATGTGAATCCAGTAAAAAAGGAAAGGAGACAAGTAAATAAAAAATTTTTAAAGTGTGGAATATAGGGATGCCATAAAAAGCAAGGAGACAAGACAGGGATGACCTAGTGAACGTGATGCAGTAGTACAATGGATGATGGCTACATACTTTCAACTGACATCGCTTGCTTGTGTAAAATTTCCTCCACACAAGCCCTATATTGTCGCCACCTTTACTGTGAAATGCGAGGACAAGTGAAGTGCGAGAAAGGATTCTGTATGTAGAACACAGCATCGTAAAAGAGGTTAGTTGAGCAAATGTAGAAGTCTTAGAGTTCACACAATGCAGTCACAACTGAAAACCAACCAGATGGTGTTACCTGTCTAATGTGCTTATGAAATAAATCATAGCTGTGCATCATACAAGGGAGCACACTCGTACTTTGCGACAATATAGGGCTTGTATGGAGGAAATTTTACACAAGCAAGCGATGTCAGTTCAAAGACTTAAGAGCTTTTCATTTCATTTAACTACCATCGCCTGCCTATTATTAACAGTACATTCTCTGTGGTGCAGTTCGTATAGGAGCAGATGTCACCAACAGCATTATGTGACTAATATGTGTTATCACCACAGGAGATACCATGGTGCAACTGAATCGCTTTCTTCTTCGCACCGTTTGCTCTGACCTCTTTATCCTACTTTTAAGATATGTTGCTGAAGACAATAGTGTTAACTTTCCATCAGACACAGCGCCAAATGTACAGGTGTGTTTTCAATTATTGTTTATTGCCCAGGCAGGCGGAAGCAAGCAAAATTTATACTATTACCATGATTGACTTGAGAATTTGTTTTTAGCGCTGTTACTGTTGACTTTGCTGTAAGTGGGTATATACAAGTGATAAAGTGATCAGGCGATGAAATATGCAATGTATGACATGTCAGCCTGTGTTTGCAAAGAGGTTACATGCAGCAATTCCTAAGACTAATCTTATTCCAACAGCAACAGAATATGACTCACACTTTCACACTCATCATCAGCCACTCATTCATCCCTATGCCTTTCCAGCTCTGCATAGTCCAAGCTTGCCTGACCTGAATTTGCACATTTCTCTGTATTCAGTGCCACTTGCCCTATGTAAATTACGTTGTGAACTCTACGACTTAATCTTATTAGCTTCTAAATTCTTACTCCAATACTCCGAAGTTGGCTTAACCTCCATTTTTAACTGTAAGTATAAACCATATCTGTGAGTTTTTTTGCAACTGTTAGACTTACATACTAACACCCATGGAGTCATCTATAAACAAGTCCTCCATCCCAAGCGGAGTCTCCTCTGCTTCCCTCATTGAAAACAAAATCCCTGTGTGCAGCACCTAGGTTATTTCATGAATAGTATCAAACGAAGCCCAAATTTAGATGTGTCAAAGCACATCACAAACTACTAGGTTCGAGAATGACTGGCCAAGAAACTCAAGAAAAATGGTGTCAGTAATACTGAAATTTGTTGGAAAAAATACAATAAGCTAGAATTTGTGCAGAAAGTGGCATTGTTGTAGTTAAGAGTGTGCCACACTTTTATACTACCTCTAGTTAAGCGCTACAATTACCATGTTGTCTACCTTGCCGTCCCTCTAACCTGGGTACAATGCCATGTGCGGTGCATACACACTGCAAATAAACCCTCCTATGCTACTGCTTTAACTCATGATAAGCCTCTCTTTAAGAAGCACAGGACCTGGCAAGTCACATACGTATAGCATCTCATGAAATCACTTCTGCCTTAACCTGCATTGCCTGCCCCTCACCCACATTATTATCCCTGTAACAAAGTGACTTTTTTGTAGGTACAGCAGAAAATAATTGATTTGCTTCCCACTCCGATGAAGAAAAAGTTGACTTCAGTAAACATGGCCCTTAATGGAAAGGTACATGGGTATTCTCTTTTGCTTTTACCACAAATGTGTCTGTTTATTTTGCATCTAGTGTTTATTTTGCATCTAGTGTTCAGTTAGAGGTTACACAAAACTTTCAAGAAAATCATTAATTAGCCAACAGCACACATGCGCAGTGAGGGTTACGGTACTTGGTTTGTAACTCTGTATGTCTGTCTCTCTGTCCATCTGTTTCCATTGCTTAATCTTGCATCTCGTAACATGCGGAAATATAAAATCAAAAAAATATTGAGCGTATTGGGTACGACTAGTAAATCAAAATTATAAAGCGTTTTGTCTACCTAAAGAGTTAGAGCGTGGCTGATTCAGCCTTTTTTTCCGACTGACGTGCAGTGTGTCTGTGTACATGTGCTTTAAGAGTTGCAGCCATAGTTTGTGTGTCCATTTGTCTGCCTGTTACCGCTCTTCCGGCAATACAGGCCATGAGGCAGCAAAAGAGCAACACTATGCATTATGTATTGGTACGGTTAAATGAAACTACAGATTCAAGAAACAATATTCTAATGAAGAATGACAAACTTCAACCGAGTTTTTCCCATTAAGCTCACCATGCTGGCATAAAGGATCTTGAAGTCTGAGCATCCAGTCTAGAGGCAAAAACCTGATGTTTGTAGCAATAAAGTTTCTGTGCATTATGATTACTCGCTACTCTTTTACACTGACACTACATATTTACAACACATCAGGTTGCTGCTACATTTCTTGCATTGTTTAAAGAACTGTGTGAAGAGGAATATTGTGGAGTTTTGCTAAAGAAACTAGAGAAGAAAAAGGAGAGGTAATATAATGCAATAGTCCGGTAATAACAACCAATCGGAAAAGACTCATATAGCCCTCATCCTAACCGTTCTACATACTACATAAGTGAGGGTTTACTGTGCCAGCACAGTTTGCCGTTGCCTTTTATTGTGTTGTAGAGTTGAGCCCATGCCCCATGTTACCTTGCAGCCTCATTGATGTTTGCATGTTTGGAGTTGGACATCTACGTATGATTGTTGAATTACCCAGTTTGGTGTTGGGAATCTTCAAACAGGCCCTATTGTCACATTAGAAAGCAAGTGAGACAGTTGGAATTTGGCGTATGTGATAGGCTCTGAGAAAACTACCCTTATCGCGCATGGAGTATTGTTAACCCTCGGCGCGCATGCACAGCGAGGGTTATAGTACTTGGTTTGTCATTCCGTCCGTCTGTCCGTCTGTCTGTCTGTTACCACCGCTACGCGCAACAAGACGGCCAAAAAGCAATACCAACGGGTTCAGTGCCACCCTGGCTTTATTTTTAAAATAGCGATTTTGGTAAAAATGCTGCGTTCGAAAGTTATGGCGTGAAAAGCAAGTCAAGGAGCTAATATGCAAATTAGTACAGGCTTACCTCGACCGCGTCCGCTTGCTCTGTGTATCTTTGAAGGCACAATAAGTCACAACGAAGGGCATGTATCAACTCCCGCATGCAATCTACTACTGTAGCTAGCCCGTGCCAGACTCTCCACGAGTTACTAGCGGGATACAACGAGTGAAGGGAAAAAAACCCGGCCCATCAATTAGTGGTACCGCGCATGCGCAGTTCGCCGAGGGTTTGCACTTTAGTGCTTTTCATTGTAGTAGCGGTGGTTTTACGGCGAACTACATAATTTACCGATTCCCGTTTCCCCCCGTATACTAGTACCTCTGTCTATCATCTATAATCTGCGCAAGTTTGACGCATGAACTCCATTCCGTTCCGTAGTTATGGCCCAGGGTATCTGGCAACTACCGTCACTCGTGCCGTCGTTACGCGGAATTACCAGGAAACGTTACACGGGAATAATCAAACCTTTTACGGAGTCAAGTAAACGGGAATTCCCCTTTACTACGTTTACCTATCGAAAGCGGCCGGATGCACGTGCACGCGTAATTTTGTAACATGGACTTGTTACGAGAATACGGAGGTTGAAATTTGACACCGGAAGTTCAACTTTAGATGCGATTTTTCACGTTAGATGCAGCGGAATGGCACTTGCGTTTGTGCTCATAACTTCGCAACGGAACGGGCTACGCGCCTGAAACAAATGGCACACTATAGAGCATTTATAGGACTTTCGGTCTAGCGCACAAAAAATGTTTCGCGATGTTTTTCTCAGAGCCTGTCACATATTATAGGGGATGAGTGCAGTAAAGATGTGTTAGAGAACAACATTGGCTCCATTGGCTCCAGGGCAACACTTCTCTTTAAGATGCACTTTATAGGGCTGTGGGTGTTGTCCGGAGTAATTCGAAATACCAAACTCATCTTTCTCGATACCGTCATAATTTCACAAGTTTTGCACATCTACGACATAAGTGGTACTCTTACACATAGACGAAGGCTTCATCTCACAAAAATTAGACGACTAATTACCCCTTGGCGCGCATGCGCAGCGAGAGTTACGGTACTTGTTCGTGAGTGTGTGTTTGTCCGTTTGTCTGTTACCACGTTTTCTGTGACTACGCGAAACGAGACAACGAAATAGCGACACCAACAGGTTCATTGCTACACTGGCCTTATTTTTAAAAAGGCGATTTTGATATATATAATATCTGCATTCAAAGGTTATGGTGTGAAAGGCAAGTGAACAAGCCAATATGCAAATTAGCACAGGCTTACTTCGAGCGGGTCCGCTTGCTCTTTGCATCTTGAAGGCACAAGAAGTCACAACGAAGGGCGTGTATTGACTCCCGCATGCTATCTACTACTGTAGCTAGCCCGTGTCAGACTCACCGCGAGCTACTAGCAGGAGATCATGAGTAAATGCATACTACTAAAGCCCAGTCCATCACTTAGTGGTACCCCGCATACGCAGTTCGCCGAGGGTTTGCACTTTAGTGCTTTCCATTACAATTATGGTGAATACAGTGGAACCTCCGAACAAGGGACACTTTGGGTTTTCATGATCATACACGTTTATTCAAGTATATACACCCATAGTAATGTGACCAAAAAAATTTCAAATGTTTATGATGTAAAGTAGTCATGCGTAGTAATGTGACGAAAGAAATTTCAAATATTTATGATGTAAAGTAGTTATGTAGAGATGTCTGTTGGGATGATTGTAATTTTAAGCCTGTAGAGTGTCTACTACTGAACCATTTGGAGCCTTAAAATGTATGCTACTAACTAAATGTTCTTCAGCTCAGGACGGATCTCTTCAAATTTTAGGTCGTATTCTGATCGTACAAAGTGAGCTTCAGAGCAAATCTTTTCAATGACACACTCAGGACAGACAAAACTACGGCCAAGCATTTTGAAACTGGAGTTGCTCTCCATGTACTCATCTACAGCCTTATTCAAGGAGGTTCTGAGGGTAACCTAGCAATCTTCGACCACTTCCTTGAATGACCTTCACCCATTTCGTGTGTTAGCTATATCCGTCGACTGAGGTTCAAAAAGCAGGCTTGGGGTACACTTGGAACTGTCACATGAGCCACAGCAAAGCAGTGATTCAGGGTGGTTTTCTGATGTACCCAGTGCTAACATTAGCATTCTCCTGCGACAGTTCTTCTTAGCAGTGCAGTAACTCTTTACTTGGTCACTGCACGTGCTGCGTGAATTAACAAAAATGCGTGCTGTTGATGTTCTATCTATGTTTTATATCAGGGTCTTAGGTACAGATCCTGTAGGAAGGCTTTTTAGCCAGTGTGCAACACAAGCAAAATCAGCTTAGAAATAAATAAGCCATATCAAGTATTTTAAAAAAACGTTAACCTTTCATACGACTTGCAGAAAAGTAGATGTTGGAGCGATTCAGTGCACAAGATGGGGTCAATGTAGTTTCTGACAAATTAACTCTTGTGTTTGACTGGAAGTGGTAGCTGTCAGTGCCATAATGCCATAAATGGAGCATTTGTTACTGCTCTCAATCCATTGATCTTTGAAAAATGCTTTTCTAATATCTCTACCCCTGTTAGTTTAAAAGAAAAGAATAATAACCAGTCTTCAATACAATGTGCTTCGTCAATAGCAACCAAAGCAATGTTTTCTTTCCCGTGGTTACTTGACACCATGGTGGAGTAACAGCACACTTAGGTGACATAAATACTGTATGAAAAGTGAAAAGCACTAAAGTGCAAACACTCAGCGAACTGCGCATGCGCGATACTGCTAATTGATGGGCTGGGCTATTTTGTATGCGTTTACTCTTGGTCTCCCGCTAGTAGCTCACGGAGAGTTTTACACGGGGTAGCTACAGCAGTAGATAGCATGCGGGAGTCGATACACGACCTTTGTTGTGACTTCTTGTGCCTTCAAGATACACAGAGCGAGCAGACCCGGTAGAGGTAAGCCTGTGCTAATTATCATATTGGCTTGTTAACCCTCGGCGCGCATGTGCAGCGAAGCGAGGGTTACGGTACTTGGTTCGTGAGTGTGTGTGTTTGTCCGTTCATCTGTTACCACGTTTTCTGCGACTACGCGCAACGAGACAACGACACCAACAAGTTCATCGCTACACTGGCCTCATTTTTAAAAAGCGATTTTGATATATATAACTTCTGCTTTCGAAGGTTATGGCGTGAAAGGCAAGTGAACAAGCCAATATGCAAATTTGCCAGGCTTACCTCGACCAGCTCCGCTTGCTCTGTGTACCTTGGAGGCACAACAAATCACAACGGAGGGCGTGTATCGACTTTCACATGCTATCTACTACTGTAGCCAGATTCTCCACAAGCTACCAGCGGGAAACCGTGAGTAAACGCATACTAATAGCCCAGCCCAACAATTAGCGGTATCGCGCATGCGCAGCTTGCCGAGGGTTTTGCACTTTAGTGCTTTTCATTCACTTGGTTTTCACACCATAACTTTTGAACGCAGTACTTTATTTACGAAAATCACCCTTTTTAAAATGAAGCCAGTGTAGCGCTGAACCCATTGATGTTGCTTTTTGGTCCGTTTGTTGCGCGTGGTGGCAGAAAACGTGGTAACAACAGACACACAGACCAAGTACTGTAACCCTCGCTACACATGCGCGCCGAGGAACTCTTTGGGGCCCAAATTATTGTGTTACGTTATTATTACGTGCAATGCAAAAAGCTGGAATGCTCATTTTCACCACTGAAAACTTACTTCCGCATTAGTGCTGAGTCTCCTGGCCATTGTTGAGGCGTTAGCTCAGTTGCGTGGGCTAGAAAGTGGGAGTGTCTCAGATCCTGCGAGTGCGTGGCTCGCGCGTACGGACTACGCCCTCGAGTGCCAGAAGGCGTGGCATGCTCTATTTGTGCATTAGCGTTGGTAATATTGAAAAAGAAAGTCGCAGGAAGGCGGTCAGTTGCAACGAAGAGCTTTATCCCAGAGAAAGAGAAGATAAGCAGGTGCACACGCTACTCACACAACGCGTTACATTTGTATTCCGCGTTATCTACGTAAAAAGCCACTCCAGTTGCTTTGGGCCCCAAAGAGTTTTAATTATGTTTCTGCATTCCCAACCTGATGAATGTCTACGAACGCACCAAATCTGTACTTTCCCTGTGTTTCATCCGCAAGATTATCTTTACCAGCTCTAGCAGCAGCAACCCCAACAGAGCCGAGTTACCAACCTACACATACATGTGAAAACTAAGAGGTAGAAAGGCAAAGGCATAACAAACAAATCGACTACACCCAGGACAGCTCTTTTTTTCCAAGAAAAAAGAAGAGCTGCCCTAGGTGGGATTCGAACCCACGACACTCTGCAGTCGGGGCAACTCAGCTGGTATGAAGTTTAAGGGAGTTAAACGTAGTTAACGGAAGGAACCAGCCAGCCCAGTAATGCGCATGCGCGGGGTAGC